CCTACTTAGCTATTATTGTGTTCTCTTTAGGACATTGTTATCTGTACCAAGGTTGCAAAGATATTCTACGCTTGTTTCTAGAACTTGTAGCTTTACATCTAGGTGAACCACCTTGAATTAAATTTCTTGAAGTGAGATTAAGGTTGAGCTTCTTCCTTTTTCCATATATTGGTCCAGTCGTTGCAGCACTATCTGTGGAAAAAAAATTTCCTTAATGAATTGTCCTGGAATCTTTGTTGAATCCCAGCTGACTATATCCTTATGTATCTAGATCCTACATTCTGTTCCATTGATTTATGCTGCATCCCATGCTCTTACCTTCCTAATCACTGCAGCTCTGGGGGGAAGCTTTAAATCACATAGTGTCCGTTCTCTAGCTTTGATCTTTTCCGAGGTTATCTTGACTAGTCAACTCTGCATTTCCATGTATATGTGCATGTGTGCATGCGTGCCTATCACACTGTCAACATACTTTTTAAAAAAAATTTATTTATTCATTCAGAGAGAGTGAGAGAGAGGCAGAGACACAGGCAGAGAGAGAAGCAGGCTCCATGCAGGAAGCCCGATGTCGGACTCGATCCCGGGTCTCCAGGATCACACCCCGGGCTGTAGGCGGCGCTAAACTGCTGCGCCACCAGGGCTGCCCAACATACATATTCTTAAATTGTGTTGGGGGACACCTGGGTGGCTCAGCATTTGAACATCTGCCTTCAGCTCAGGGCGTGATCCCGGGTCCCACATTGGGTTCCTAATGTGATAGGCATTAAATCAGTACTTTGAAGACTACGCTAGTGTTTGATTTTTAATAATTTTTTTAATCGCTGACTTACTGATATAGTTTTCCATATATTTGGGTAATTATCAAGTAATCTGAAACATTTGGCTGAAAAATACAACACTTTTGGCTTAAAAATTATCAACAGTTGCCACAGTAATTCTTACACTATAACCAAAGACCAGTTTTTAAAAGGAAACACCTTTCCAGAAACCTATTCCTGGGTTATTTTTGGTACTACTTTTTCTGTCTTACCTGGAAATAATTTACAAAAATAACTTAACTGAAATTGGCACTAAAGAACAAAAGTGGAGAGGAGTCAGAAACAGGATAAGAAGAGGTATGATTGGGGACCCCTGGGTGGCTCAGCGGTTTAGCGCCACCTTCAGCCCAGGCCGCGACCCCACAGTTCCCGGATCGAATCCCACATCGGGCTCCCTACAGAGCCTGCTTCTCCCTCTGCCTGTGTCTCTGCTTCTCTCTCTGTGTCTCTCATGAATGAATAAATAAAATTTAAACAAAAATCGCATTGGGATTTGATTTAGAATTACATTGAATCTACTGGGTTGACTTGCAGAGAACTAACATCTTTATAGTATTTCATCTAATCCATAAACATAGTATCTTTTTTCATTAGGCCTTTCAAAGTTTCCCTCAGCGGTGTTTCTGAGTTCTCAGTGTACAGGTCTAGCACATCTTTTTCATTAAGTGTATTCCTCTTTGATATGCTTTTAATGCTCCTGAGTCCTATTGTTACACTTTCCAATTGTTTCCTGTTAAAATACAGAAATGCAATGATTATCCTATATTGACCTTGTATCCCACAATCTTGCTGAATATGCTTGCTCTGGTACTTCCTTAAATAGATTCTTTAGGATTTATGTAATCAGTAATGCTGGCGTGAATAAAGGTAGTTTGTCCTTCTAGTTCAATCTTTTCATTATTTATTGTTGCCTTCGTGCTGTGGCCAGGACCTGCAGCGTGGTCTTGAGTGGGGGGGGGGGTGAATGTGAGTGTGCCCGCCCTGTTCCCGCCCCAGCGGGGAGCAGCCAGAGTGCCGTGCACCAGGACTGTGGGTTCCTGGAGGTGCTCTGTGTCAGTGTGAGGAAGCTCCCTTCTCAGTTTGCCAGGATATTTATCTTGAATGATTATTTTATTGTTTTTTTCCTGCATCTGTGGAGGTAACTACTGTGGCTTTTCTCCTTTATTCTGTTAATAAGTGGAATTTGCAGGTTGATTTTCAAATGTTAATTAACCTTGCATTCCTGGGACAAGCCCCACAGGGCCACAGTCTTATCCTTTTAAAATGTTGTGGGATTCAATTGGCTAATACTTTGGTCAGGAATTTCACATCTATGTTCACAAAGGGAACCGATGTGTAATTTTATTATCCTGTAAGATCTTGGTCAGATTTTAGGACAGCATCATGCCCGTCTCCAAAAGGCTTCAGGAAGCGCCCTCTATCCTCCTGAAAGACTTCTATGACTCTTGTAATCCATCCCCAAGAGTTTGTTAGAACTCAGTAATGCAGTCCACAGGGCCTGGGGGTTTGTGTGGGAAGGTTTTTGACTAAAGTCAGTTTCCTTGACAGATGTAGAACTGTAAGACTTTCTATTTCTTTTTTTTTTTTTAAGATTTTATTTATTTATTCATGAGACACACAGAGAGAGGCAGAGACACAGACAGAGGGAGAAGCAGGCTCCATGCAGGGAGCCCGAGGTGGGACTCAATCCCAGGACCCTGGGATCACACCCTGAGCTGAAGGTGGCACTAAACCGCTGAGCCACCCAGGGATCCCCAAGATTTTCTATTTCTTCTTGCATTGGTTTCATAAAGTTGTTTCCCAAGAAAGCTGTACATTTCATCAAATTTATTGCCATGAATTTGTCCACCTGCTGTTTTGGTGTCTAGAAGATTTCAGCCTTTCTGTTTCTGATATTGGTAATTTGTGTTCGCCCCTTTTCTCTTGATTGCTTTTACTAGAGTTTACCAATTACTTTACAGAACCAACTTTTGGCTTTGATTGCTTTCCATTTCATTGATTTTGGTCCTATCTTTATTATTTCCCTCCTTTACATATTTTGGATTAAATATACTTTTTTATTTTTTAAAGATTTTATTTATTTATTCATGAGAGACACACACAGAGAGAGGCAGAGACCCAGGCAGAGGGAGAAGCAGGCTCCATGCTTCGCCACCCAGGCTGCCCCTAAATATGCTTTTATTTTCTTGTATTCTTATGACAGAAGTTTAATTTTAAACCCTTCTTCTAATAGAGGCATTTAAAGCAATAACTTTTCTTCTAATCACTGCTTTAAACTACATCCCACAAATTTTCTAGTTCACAATTTCCTTTTTGATATTTTTATTCGACCTATATGTTATTTAGAAGTAATGTTTAATTTCCAACATTTTTACTTGGGGATTTTGAGGTAATTATTGCTATTGATTGCTGATTTAAGTTTGGTGTAGTCTGTTCACACTCATTTTATGGCCCAGCACACAATCTGGCTTGATGTACACCTCACGGACACGTGGAAAGAAGGGGTATCCTGCTGTGGGGTGTAATGTTCTGTGATGCCAGGTCACGCTGGTGGATGGTGTTGAACCTTTTATGTCATTGGTTTTTGTTTACTGCTTCTATCAGTTACTGAGACAAGGGTGTGAAAATCTCCCAACGACCAGCGTGGGCTTGTGTTTCCTCCTACAGCTCTACCCTGCTGGCTTCACGTACCTTGAATGTCTACTAAGCGCATATCCGTAGAGGATTATTACGTCTTGTGAATTAACAACAGTCTCACCAGGAACTGACTTGCCTCTTTAGCGTGACGCACACCCATCAGTGCCTCGAGTCGGGGTCTGCTTTGTCCGACCCAAACAGCGACGGCGTGACTGCGCCGATGGCATGGTGTGCTTATTTCACCCCTGGGGTTGGTGTACGTAAAGTGCGTCCCCTGTACATGTGTGTGTGTCTGCGTCTTCTCAGGACACCTGTCATTGTGTTTAGGGCCCGCCCTCACCCAGGATGACCTCCTCTCCAGAACTCCGGGGCCACACCACAGGCTCTGGGGTCAGGACTCGGACTTGCCTTTCCGAGGGCACTGCAGCCACGGTCACGAGTTTACAGGCTCTGAGTATGTTCACGAGCGTCCCACAAAGCAGCCTGGCTGGCCTACTCTCCGGGCTGTTCCTGGGCCCAGCAGTCGAGGGCCCTTCTTAGTCACTAGCCCAGTCCAGGGCTTCACAGGCAAGGCCTGGACCAGGGCCCCGGTCCTTGGGCCTCACCCTGGGCCTCGGGCCACCTCTGTTCCACGGCACAGAAACCCAGAGCTCTGGAGTCCTGTGAGTGCTCGGGGTCGCCCTAGAGCTGAGCAGTAGCAGCACAGTGAGAAACTAGTTTCCGAGTGTCTGAGCCTCTCCCCTCCAGGCGATCCCATGGCTTTGCTGCAAGAAATCCAAACAATTCCGGGCAGCAGAGGCAGCAGGGCAACTCTGCCTGGCTTTCTATCCACGCCCTCCCCAGCCATGCAGAGAAAGCGCCCCTTTATCTTCCTAAGGAATCTTCTAGAAATAGAAGCCATCCACTTTTAATTCAGATGCTACAATCACATCTGATTGCAAGGTTGTCCTCTGAGAGCAGCTGATGTGTCCATATCTTCAGAAAGCAAATCCTAAAGATGGTACCAGGCGATCATCTGTGCGACTTCCGCAGTAACAGGAGCGGGGCGAGCTCTGGATTGGTGTTGAGAGCCGAGCCCGCACCCCAAAGCACGCTTTCTCGTCTCTTGTTTGAAATACAGCCGGAGAGCTGAAATCATATTAAAGTAGATTGGCTTCTCGTTCAAGATAAATGCTTTTTTTTTTTTCTGTACCAACTTAATCCAGGTTTCTGAAGCCAAGGCAGGGAAGGCACCGTCTGTCTAATGAATTCCAGCTCATCTGGGGCTTTCCCGTGACAAATCGTTCATCACGGAACCTCTTCAAAGCACAGAGGAAACACCAAAGGCATAAAGCGCCCTTTCCACTCTAACCACCCCCGCTGGCCACTCTATCACCGTCAAGTAAGACCTTGGAAATAATCACCACGAATAAAGGGAACGAAAAGTGCACATTAAAATAACTCGATGGGCGCTGAGAGGGCGTCAAGAGCAAACCCAGCATGTTCCCGTGCTATTCTGCAGCTCTCCCTCCCCTTAATGTGGGTAAAGTAAGAGACAGGACAGCGTTTAATAAACAAAGGAGTTTATTATTGATGAGGTGAAAATACCTGGTTATGTGTGGACTGACATTAAATAATTTATGAGTATTTTTGACAGGATTGACTGTAGTTGTTCATGTGTTTACAAAAGCAGAATTCAACGTCTGTCCTTTGCTGCGGCTGAGTCCTCCTCCTGGAAGTCAGGGACACGCCCTCTGTAGGCACCTGAGGCCGCCTGGCTGTCCCCGGCACCGCACCCCCAGAACACCCCAACATCTGGGTCCGTGATCTGGACCTTGCAGATGCAGACCAAGGTCTGGTCGAAGCTTTCATCTGGGGGTTCCAGGTGCTACTGAAACCTCACTCGGCCCTGTCTCGGGGTGAGTGAGGTCTGGTGCGGCGTCTGTGTTCCGGCAGCCGCCCCCATGCGGCTGAGCTCTGCTGGGTCCTTCGGGGACAGGCCGCAGGCCCGCACACGCTGCTGTGAGGCGGATGCTCCCTCCACATCCGGGAACTATGCCAAAGCCTTTCTCGCTGGACACCGAGGGAGTGAATCTCAATATTGTAGTAAAAATGTGTAAGAGGTTCTTTTTTTCCCCAAATGTTTACTTTAGCGAGTAGGATCGTCTTCAGTTCAATAATACAGCACCATCTATGGAGACACACGGTGCACACAAGCTGCGGACGGTGGAAATGACGTCCCTGTGAGCGGCAGTGACTTCTAGAACACTCGATTATACATTCTGCTATTTTAGGTGGAGCTACAGATGAAACTGTGATCTTTGGGAGAGCCAGGAAAGTCTCCCTGGGTTTCTTCGTCATAAAAACTTGTCATTAAAGGAAAAAAAAAACCAACACAGAGCTTGCCTCAGCTAGCCCAGCCCTGTCCCCTCTGTCCCCTCCGCGGGCCCCTGCTCGGCATGGGCACAGCGAGAGGAGGCACGGATGTGTTCAAGCACAAAGTGGTCATTTAAACACACCTCCTCTTACAGCTTTGCTGGGAACGAGGTCAGCTTAAGGCTGTGGGTCGCCCCTAAACCCGACGCTTACTCTACTTGTGCTGAATGAAGTAGAGGAAACGCAAACCAGCGGCCTGAGGCTAGCGGGTCATAGGTGGTGCTTTGGTTAAACCGTTCCCTGCCCTGGTGCTGGCCCCTGCTCGTGGGCTCCGGAAGGTTCTAGACAGCACGCACCGCAACTTCATAGCAACCTGACCCTGCTGCCTGCCTGCGAAGCACCAGCCCGAAACGCTGTGGGTACAGTTCAACCGGGACAGTAGAGAGCCATGCAGCCACACACCCCCACCCCCCTGGGGCCCCGACTGGCTCCCCGGCCCACCTTTTGGGGGAGCACGGGTGGGGGGGGCAGGAGGGCGGGGCCCGCAGAGCACAGCCCCACTCGGCCCGTCTGCCCCCCGTTTACTCGACCTTCCAGATGGCAATCTTCCCCTCGCCCCCGCCCGACCCGCTCAGCACGTATCTGTCCTCCGCCGAGCAGAGCGTTGTCACCCTGTCTATGTGGGCCACCAGCTCCTTTGCCACCGTCTTCCTCTCGGCGTCAATCACGTAGATTTTCCCTCTGGCCAGGCCCTGGGACAGGCCAGTGCCGCCTACCCAGATCTGCCAAGGACAAACGAGGGTGGTAGGGAAGGGAGGCCCCTGGAGGTGCGCTTGGGGACGCTGGGGGTGCTTGCCTTACCTGCTGCTTCACTCTGATCATGCAGCTGACCTCGGAGCAGTCCTGAAGGGGGACCCGGTGAGGAGGCTGCGTCAGGTCCGCCAGGCTCCAGATGTAGATGCTGGCCAGTCCGGCGCACGCCACCCAGAGCTGCTCCTGCTGAAACACAAGTCACCGTGAGGCTGCTGGCGGCCACGGCACCCGAGCCGTCTTGGACGGTGCTGCCGGGACAGGTACCTGGGGGAGGAGCTGGAAACCCACGAAGGACGTGCTCATCTCCTTGAAGTTCTCGCTGACCTTCAGTTCTTGACAGAGGAGCCCGCTGGTCATCATGGCCACGATACTGGTCCCTGTACCTGTAGACGGAAGGAGCCAGCGTGGGGGACGGGGACGCCCGGGCACAGGGACGAAGCAGTTGGAGCCATCGTCCTGTGCTGGCGCTGGCCCAGCGCTCCCAGCAACCTCGGTGACTGTCAGCCCCACCCTTGCCCCTGACGGGGGCCACCGCCCGCAGCCCCACCGCGGACCCAGCGAGGGCCCGGGGAACCGTCTTGCCCGGTTTGGGATCTCCTCTCCCCGAAGCCACAGCCAGTTCTCCCGCGTTGGGGATGAAGGCGACTGCGCCACATGCCCCTCAGCGCTTCTGTTTTCTCTGAATCCCTCTAAGAAAACGTCTCCTTGTGAACTAAGAGTCGCCATGGTGCCGGGGCTGCAGGTCTGGGGACAGTGGCACGGGGCGGGAAGCCAGGCCGCGGGGCGGACCAGGGGCACACTCAGGCCCAGGCCGGGTGTGTGGGGCTGTCTCCCTCCTGCACTCCCTGCACGGGCCCCCTGCCCCCAGCTGAACCCACCCCGTGTGCCGGCATCGGGGAGACAGGAGGGGCCGGGAGGGCGCAGGCCCACCTCTGGGAGCACCAGCCAGATGCAGAGGGCGGCTCTGACCCCGGGACCTGGGGAGACACCAGTCAGAACCTGCTGCTCTGGCTTCCTGCAGCGGGCGAGCGGCCTGCGGGTCACCCTCTGGCCCCCGGCCACGCCACAGGGGCCCCTTGCCCGCGGCCGCTGGGGTTTCAGTCCTGGACTGTGACAGCTGCCGGCCAGGTACGCCTTCATCCACTTGGGCGAACTGGTGAGGCCCTTGCGATGCTGCCACTGGTTCGGGAAACACGGGCCGCCCTGGGGAGAGTGTCCTGCCCTGGGACCCTCCTCAGCGCACCCGACACGCAGCCCCAGGAAGTGGCCCCAGCAGGAGGGGATGCGGGACAGGGCAGGGCTCGAGGGCGGGAGCTGCAGAGCAGGGCCATGGTGCCCCACGCGCGGCCCTCTGAGAATGACGGCACTTTGCCTCTCGCATCTCGCGGCCGTTAGCGAGCCCGCGGGGAAGGCCCGTAGTCTATCTCACTTTTCAAAGACCGACTCCAAGGGACCAGCCGTCCGGCGACAAAGCCTGGATTTGAACCTGCATGCAGCCACCTGAAGGCCGCAGCCTGGGCCCTGGGGCGTGGGCCGGGGGTGGTGGGCTCCCTCCTGGAAGATGACCCGCACGCAGGCACGGGGGACCCGAGGGAAGACACGGAGGACCGAGGCAGCGCTGCTGGACCAGAGCGGGAGGTTGCGGCCCCTCAGTCAGGCCCTGCCTCCGTGCACAGACGTCCTGCTCTGAGACCTGACCTGGTCCCCACCTCTGCGCTGGGGACATCTGACCAAGGACCGGGTTTTCCGCTTGTTGCTCTCGTTCAAAAAGAGACTCATGACAACACTTCTCGGGCACCTGCTCTTGGTTTTCTAGAGAAACCCCACCTTTCTCGTGATTGTTAAATAGGAGACTACTCAGTGTATGAAGTTAACTTAGAAAATAAACAGGGTTCTGTGCTCTGTCCTCTCCCTCACTGTATGCAACGGGCACCATCCCGCCGGACACACACACCTGACAGCCTGACCGCCCCTCGAGACCGACCAAGCCTGAGGCACGCGGTCCTTGAAAGGAGAGAGGTAAACTTGCAACCTGCACACACTCCCAGGGCTTCCCCAGGGCGCCCCCGGTTCTCACTGACGCTGCAGTCAGTGCCCCCGCTTGAGGGTACGGTGTGGGGCTGCCAATGCACCTGGAAAGAGGAAATACCCCAAAATGAGGGAGCCCACAAATGCACGTATGGATTCTCAGATCCTAGTCTGGCTCCTAAACTGTATAAAGAGCAGAAAGCAGAGTTGTGGCTCCCCAAGCCAGAGAGGCTTCGTATAAAGCCCATGTGTTCCTGGAGGGTGATTACAGCCAGAACAGGTGTTACGTGCTCCAAGACTAAGGTCACAAGTGAAGTGCATTTACCCCACAAAAGCCTAAAACCAAGCCTCTGCACAGGGTTAAAATGACTGGCCAGTAAGTCATTTAATGACCATCTAGAACGAGCCCTAATGGTCTTTACAGAAGGACATGACCCACGTCTCTCCTTGCTGTGTCATCAACAACACCCCGGACACAATAAACTCCATCATGTCAAACGTGAGGGAATGACTAAAGCCCGACGGAAAGAGCAGTGCACACAAGCAGACTCACAGATGAGCCAGGACCCCGCAGAGAAGGGCTTTAGACCAAAACTACGAGTAAGTTAAAAAACTTACAGGAAAAAAAAAAAAACTTACAGGAAGATGCGGAGAGGATGGTGGACATGAAGAATGCAGGAGAGAAATCAGAAATTCTCGGGCTGAAATGAAAATCTGGACAGGTGCAGCCGCAGACAGAGGGAGGAAGGAAGGAAGGAAGGAAGGAAGGAAGGAAGGAAGGAAGGAAGGAAGGGCCTTCACCAAGGTGAAGCAGAGGAGGAGGAGGAGGAAAAATTCTAGCCATGCCTGAGATCTCTGGGACAGTATCAAATAGCCTCCTGTATATATTAGAATATCATTATATTATTTGTTTATATTATAATATTACATAATTCTAGAATAAATACGTATGCATTTATATGTACATACACACATGTACGTGTATATATATAATGAAAATCCCAGAAGATACAAGGGAAAAATGGATGACAGAAATACTAGGAGTGGGGCCCCGGGTGGCTCAGCGGTTGAGGATCTGCCTTTGGCCCAGGGCGTGACCTCGGGCTCCCCGTGTGGAGCCTGCTTCTCCCTCTGCCTGTGTCTCTGCCTCTCTCTGTGTCTCTCATGAATAAATGAATAAAATCTTTAAAAGATTCTCTCCTGCCTTCTAGACTAACAAGAGGACAGGTGGGAGGGAGAAGGAGGTAAGGACGGTGGGCTCGTGCCCACACCTGTCGTAACGGCGCTAGAGCGCTAGAGAGGGGTGAGCAGACCGACGCACAGACATTTCTGCAGACACAGGGACGGGACGGCCACCAGGCCACCATGCGATGCCACCGCACACGGCCACCAGGGCGCTGACGGCTAAAACCAGAACAGGTTTTGGTGAAACAGTGCGGCAGCTTCGGAGGAGAATCTGAGGGTATCTCAGGGTGAACACGGGGTTAACCCCCGGATGACCACGGACCACGAGCTCTGAGACCTCCGCAGCAGGAGCGACTGCAGGCAACATCACGGATGCTCCTGAGCACGGGGGGCTCCCTGAACACCAAGGGCCCCTGCCGCGGGGTCCATGCAGGGAAGGTTCGGGAATGGGCAGCTCCCCCCGCTGCCCCAGCCCCTGATGGGCGCAGCCTTCTGCTGAGATGGAGACATGCCTTGTCTGGGTCGGTGGCTGGTTATGTGGCGTGCACCTTGTCACCAGCCAACAAACACCCACGACTGTGCACCTGGCCATGGGTAAAATACGCTTCCAGTTGAAAACCCTGCCTTCGCGACTATCCCCCTGGTGTCTGGCATGTGCCGGGGAAGAGTCACAGTGCGGGCCACGCTCGTGCCCCAGGACACTCAGAGATGCAGGACATGCACCACCAGGCATAGCCTCCGCGCCTCCTGTCACACCCCGGGCAAATGCCTGGCCTGGGGCCCGTGGTGACGCGGCCCTGCCCCACCTGCGCACCGCTGGGGGACGTGGGCCGCACACCCCATGCCAGGGCCGTGGCTGGAAGGGGCACGATGATTCCCGGGAGCATGAGGGCCAGGTTCACGCTCCCAGCAGGGTCCAGCGAGCGCAGGAGGCTGTGGAGGAGGGGAGCCCTGGAGGAGGGGAGCCCCGGGGAGCTGAACACAGGAGGGGAGCGGGAGCCAGCGAGCACAGCAGGGGCTGGAAGGCTGGGAACGTGCTCAGCGGAGGGAACAGGCCGCCACCTCCCGGGGAGCCTCCTCTGCCGAGAGCGGGGCCCGGGTGGACGCGAGGGCCGGGACTTACAGCACCACAGGCAGCCGTCATGCAGGCTGATGGACGAGAGCCCGCCGCCCGGCAGCTGGAACCTGCTGGTCACGCGCAGGGTGCTCACGTTCCACGCCAGGACCATCCCGTCCGCGCTGCACGAGTACACCTTGCTGGTGGTGCAAACAGACAAGTGTGAGTCAGGCTTCTAAACCCCTTAACCCAGACGAGCGTGACGCTGCTGCGACAGAAAGAGCCACAGCAGGGATGATAAGTGACGCCCAAGAAAGACGATCCATGCCGCCAGAGAGCACATGGCTCCGACAAGACCGACCCGGCAGGAGAAGACAGTGTCCCGGGGATGCCTGGCCTTGCCCCTCAGCGTCTGCCGCCGTCTGTGCAGAACCGTAACAGGGCCGCGGAGCCGAATCGAGCCCCGACCCAGGGCGAGGCCCAGCCGGGCGCCGTCCCCGCCCAAGGTCACCATCAGCACCCCGTGGGCTGCCCACGGCTGCAGGAGGGGGTGGGCGCTACCCGGGGTTGGGTTAACTTTCAGGTTAGCGCCTTATGTTCTGAGCCGGGCCCGACTGCAGACGACAGCGCCCCCAAACCCCGGGGATGAGGTGGCGGGGAGGGTTGACGGAGGGGACAGCGGAGCCGGGGCACCCATGCCCCAGGCCGGGCTGCCTGCATGAAGTTGGCGACCCGCACGGGTCATATGCTCACTGAGCCTCCGCCCCCTTCACCGAAGGAGGGGACCCTCCTCGTTCTCGTGTCTCCCCTGGGCACCTCCCGGGTGCCAGGCCCTGTCCTGACTCGGGACACACAGCAGAGAGAACAGACCGGGTGCCTGCCTTTGAGCGGACGTTCCTCGTACAGTGAAGATGGGGAAGGAAGCAAACACGCCTACGGGCTGAACCACAGCCCCCAAAAAGGTACGCTGGAGTCCTCCCCACCCCAGGCCCTCAGGATTGGAAGGAGGCCTCCACGGGGGCGCCCAAGTTCACGTGCACAGGGAGACCCTAACCCACATGACCAGCGTCCTTACAGGAAGGAAGTCTGGACACAGGAAGCGCTGTGTGGAGACACCACGGGAGTGAGGTGTCTGAAGCCACAGATCTCGGGCGGAGCACAGACGCCAAGAACAGGCGAGGAAGGCCACGTGCCACCTGCCACCGAGCACCAGGCCTTCCCCGGAGCTGGCCTACAGGACAGACCCGCTGCTCTGTGCTCGGGACCAGAACGAACAGGAACATCCTGACTTGGCTCACACAGACCTGGCCCTGTCGGCAGGCGCCCACAGCAACGTCCCGCTAGGGCCCCCGACCCACCCGGGACCGAGCGGCCCCTTCTCCCTGCACAGCCTGGCCGTACCTGGGTGTTCCGTTCTGAGCAACCAGGTCCGTGACACTGGAGCGGTGGTCGGTGAGCTGCTTGTTGCAGGACATGCTGTGGATGTTGATGATGTAGATGACCGAGTCCTCCGAGCCAACCCACACCTGGTTCTGCTCTGCCATCACCATGCAGTTCTGATGGCAGGACAGGAAGAAACGGGAGGTCACAGTGGTCCTAACCCATCGAGTCCCTGCAGACACGGCGCCTCCGCTCTGGGGGACACTCTGGGGGGACACGCACCAGGCTGCTGGAGCCCCGGGCACATGCTGTCCACTGACCCGCACATAAACTCGTCGTGTGTTTACCACTCCATCTGGAAGGCCCGACAGTGCACGGCAGCGCAGCTCCCTGCTGGGGGCCTCTCTTAGCAGCAGAAATCACCAGGAAACCGCAAAAAGGCAACAACCACTAAATAGGCCGTGAGGACACTTGTCTAAGGTATGAGCTGAAACGGGGCAGCAGGGCCACAGCTGGTTGGACCTCCGCTGGGAGCGTGCACTTCCGACGGCCCGTCTCCCCGCGGTGACGGGTGTGCGTGGATGGCCCTGCACGCACCCTGTTTGTTCAGTTACAGGGTAACCTTCAAGCTGCAGAACTTGCCCGCGCGGAGTCTGCAAATAACCAGGACCGTTTAGGAGCTACAAGCAGAACCGCTCCGCAGCCGGGAGGGCTCCGGAGGACTTGGCTTGGCAAGGCCCGCCACCAACGGTCGCACGAAGGCTGTCGGCAACTCGACACCCAGGACACCCAGGACCCAGACGCCGAGAGCGCCGGGCCCGGCACGGAACGCATGGGGCGCAGCCGCCTGTGCGTGAGGGTCGCAGCGTGTGTGGCCGCGTCCCCGACGGATGCTCCTGGCACCTTCCTTCCTGCCAGCTTCCCGCTGCCTCACTTCCTGGTTTATGAGCCACTTTCCCTTCTCCGTCCTCCTGACGTGCTACGCGGCCCTGGTAGCTGAACAAACGTCGGAGATTTTCAAACACAAGTGGATTTCAAAGAGTAAAGCCTGCGTCATGTCGCGGGGTGAGGAGGAGGTCTGCCCGCTGACAATCACGCAGGGGCGGCCGAGGGCTGCTCCTCGTCAGGTCAGGAGACAGAGCTTTGTAGAAATTGGTAGTTTATTTATTTATTTTCAAATATTTTATTTATTGCAGAGAGAGCGTGCGCGTGAGCCAGGGGAGGGGCAGAGAGGGCAGCACACCCCCGCTGAGCGGGGAGCCCGATGCGGCTCGACCCCAGGACCCTGAGATCATGACCCGAGTCAGACAGACGCTTAACCCACTGAGCCCCCCAGGCGCCCTGAAAATCGACAGTTTTAATTTTACCAATGAAATTTTTTCCGATAACCATTCCCGCAAGTTAGGAAAGGATGCTAGCTTACTAATTTCAGTTAGTCACTTGAAAACACCCTCTCTGGGGCGCCTGGGGGGCTCACTGGTTCAGCGTCTGCCTTCGGCTCAGGTGACGATCTCGGGGTCCCGGGCTCCAGTCCCAGGCTCCCTGCTCGGTGGGGTGTCTGCTTCCCTCTGCCTCTGCCCCTCCCCCGGCTTGTGCTCACTCTCACATGTGCACTGTGTCTCTCTCACACAATAAAATCTTTTTTTTTTTTTAATGATTTTGGTTTTTTTTATTTATTTTTAAGATTTATTCATGATAGACAGAGAGAGAGAGAGAGAGAGAGAGAGAGAGAGAAGCAGGCTCCATGCCGGGAGCCCGATGCGGGACTTGATCCCGAGACTCCAGGATCGCGCCCTGGGCCAAAGGCAGGCACTAAACCACTGAGCCACCCAGGGATCCCCTCACACAATAAAATCTTAAAAAAAAAAAAAAGTTTACTTGTTTGGTATAAAAAAATACTAAAAGCAAAAAGCCCTTTCTTTTGAGGCATCTACCTGAGAACTGGTATGATTCTAGTAAAATGTCTTTCTTTAGTGGCCCAAAGATCGCTTAGATGAGCTACTTTGAACTTCCACTTTCAGAGGCGGCGGCGTTTTCTTGAGATAATGACCCCAGCGTCTTCCTTGTCAAACAGTACGGGGAATCTCGGGGAGACGAGCACGAAGGTGTTTTCACACACCCCCGGGATAACTTCCTGCTCTCCCTAACCGTTGCCCAGCCTAGCTGGGGGCAGCAGAGGTCGCCGCACCACGCAGCCTTTGGATTTTCCGTTATTCGGTTATGAGAAAATCTTTGAAACGCATACGACTAAGATTCAACCGGAAAAACATAAAATTTAGCACAAAAACGATTTCCTCCGTTTCTCCTCGTGCTCGGTCTCAAGCATTATTAGACCGTAGTGAATACGGTATCTTGGGTCCTGTCACTTTACCACCTGGGGCTTGCCGCATGGACCCGGGGGCGGGGGGGGGGGTGTAATTCAGTGACCGCTTACTGCCTTGCTCACAGGAGGCTCGCCATTCACGCAGCGGAGGATGAGCCCAGCCCCCCAGCAACACCTGCATCTGAATTCACAGTATTTCTGTTGTTCACAGCGGTTCTGGAAGCCCAGTCTGTGCCTCAGATTGCCACATTATTTTGAAAGGATGGAACGTGGCCACCCAACCTGATACCTGGTGGTGCTGACCATGGAGGCGCCAAACTCCCACGTTAATGGAGGCGGGAGGGCATGAGGACTTCTAGCACTGCCTCTTGCAGCAGCAGCTGCTTTTCTAACCTCGGAGCAGTGGTGGTGGGGGTGGGGGGGCGGGGGGTCACTGAGCTGGACACCAGGAGGAGCCCTGGAGCAGCAGCGCCTCCCCACCTGCAAACTCCGGTGCCCGTGACATGTTCCCACCGTGCAGCTCGCCCCCCTGGCGGCTACAGGCCTCACACAGGACCTTGGGCCGAGGGGCGGGGGGGTGGGGGGTGCTGTTCTGCACAAGCTGATGTAATCAACTTCATTTAAATGAAAAAGTCATCAGTCTAAAAGCTCAAGCCTCCGTATCCTGCCCATATGGTTCGACCTGTTGTTGGTTTCCAACCCCAAATGCGTTAGGATAATGCGTGTGTCTGCCCGGGGTCAGAGATGTACGCGCGAGCTACGACCCTGCCCTCCGCGTCCCTGGAATCCAGCTTCAGATTCCAGGCTAGGGGTGGCAGGAGCCACCATCTGGTCACATAAATAAGAACATTTAGAGGACGGGACAAGTTCACATTTAGTTGAAAACCTCACGATGCCGTGCAATGACACGCATCCCGCTGCCGCGTGCAGTGGACATTTCCATCCTTCCAGAATCCACAACCTGATGTGGGCAGTGGCCTCGTCCGATGGCCCTCTGCTTACTCACCAACTTGGAGGCGCCCACTTTGAAGCACTGCTGGTGAATCGTCCAAGAGGAAGCGTCAAACACGGTCACCTTGCCTTCGTCCAGAGCACACCATAACTTGGGGTGGGCGTCCTCTACTTTTTCTGCTGGGTCTAGATGCCCTGAGGAAGTAAGAAAGCCACACATGTTGTTAGAGGGAAACCCTCTGATGCGCAGCCCGACGGGCGCCCTTCCTCGGGCACCTCTGAGCACCTGCCGAGGGCCGGGCACCAAGCTGGTGCCGGGGCCAGGAGGGGGAGCACATCCTGAACTACCGTGCCCCCGGGAGGAGATGAGCTGGCTTCAGTCAGAGGACCACACAGACGATGACTGCTGACCGGGGACCCGGCCAGGGTGGCTTTGTGGACCCGGGGTCTGGGGGATGGGTGAGCCTCGGGAAGACCAGCGCCCCCAGCAGAGCAGCAGAAGCAGGTGTGGGCCAGGGACAGGGGCCGGCGGGGAGGGTGGGGGCAGAGTGGGGCAGGAGCCCCTGAGCCGTCCCAGGGCACCCCCTCCAAGGGCGCACCAGACTTCCTCTTGCTCCACATCCGCACCCACACTCGGTGGTGACAGTCCTTCATTTGGGCCACTCTGATGGTGCAGATATTCGGGCTTTTGGACCGTGGCTGATTTGGGTTTCCCTGATGGCACATCTGGCTGACGGCCCTGACGGCCACGTGGAGGAGATCTTCGTGGCGAGCTGTTAGGTCCCTTGCTGTGTTTGATCTGGGTGGTGCTATTTTTGATCTGTAGCCATTCTGTACGCGTCCTGGACGCGAGCCCGCCTTGGTTCTGCTGTGCTGCCAGCACCCTGTCCAAGTCTGGGCCTACCCTGTTCACGCTCGGGAAAGTATCTTTTTGAAAAGATTGTATTAGTTACTTGAGCGAGCAAGACAGCAGGGGTGGTGTGTGTGTCAGGGGCGCGCAGGGGGAGAAGCAGCCTCCCCACTGAGCAGGGAGCCCAACACGGGGCTCGATCCCAGGACCCCGGGATCATGACCTGGGCCGAAGGCAGATGCTTCACCCACTGAGGCACCCAGACGCCCCAAAAGTGTCTTCTTAAAGCCCGTAATCTCAATAGTCAAATCCACCAACCTCTTCCTTCATGGCTCGTGCTGCTGTAGGCTTCCTCCTTCACCCCAAGGTCATGTTCCTCTACGTCAGCTACTAGAAGCTTGACTGCTTTTGCCATTTATGTTTGTTCGTGGTTTCCATCGACTTGGAACTGACTGCGTGTGACCTGAGGTGCGGCAAGCTTCGCGTTTTCCATATGGATGCACGACGTCCCAACCGATGTCATGTAGGGTGAGGACTGTCTTTCCCTCGAACCCCCACTCCGTCAGTCACCTCTGTCACAAGTCAAGGAAGCACAAAGGTGTCGATCTCTCTGGGACAGTCACTCCACTGGCTTCCTGGGCCTTGGGGAGATACCGCCCTACACACTCCTCAAGCCCACCAGGCACTGGGATGCTACGAGGCTGGGCTTCGGGGCCGGGGGCTGGCTCCTTATTGTTCGGGGAACCCTTGGAGCCTGGAGCCACCACGAACGGGTTTACCAGCGCTCCCCTTCTCAGCAGGTCCTGAGCACTTTGTCCCTCTCTCTCGTCAGCGCTGCCCAAAGCTCTGCTCCGTTCCTCAGGCACCACTGCCAGGGCTGGCAGACGCTCCACAGGACAAAGGGGGTCTGTCGTTCTTCATGGCGGTTTTCTACGTTGGCCCTTCTAGATGTTCTCGGAGGGAAGTTGGTCTGAGCTACCTAGTCGATCACGACAGGAGGCCCGGGGTCCAGGTAGCGTTCACGTACAGGAAACCAACTTAGGTCTAGAGATACTCATTTATCCGGACACCACGATGAAACTGGTCTGTGGTGTCGCAGTCAACGGGAGCCTTGACCGGATCAATCTGTACGTCTCCAGCGGAGTGGGGCCGCCTATGCTGTCCTCCTTCACACTCAGTCTGTCACTGTGCAGGGTCTTCGGGACGATGGGTGAAGAGAGAAAATGCTGCCCTCCTGCTGGAACACGGCTTTGCCAGCAAGCTGCCCATGTGGGACCAGGTGGCCTGGGGCACAGCTGCGGAGTCAGAGACACGAAGGGCACCCCATGGCGCTCACTGGCTCACCTCACGTCCCAGTGAGTTGAAGCAAAGCTCCCGACTGTAAGGTTCTTTTCTGCCCAGAACGAAGTCCTTTATTTTCCACCTGGGGAGCCCTGCGAGCGACCTTCCCGCCGCAATTCTTTACAAGTCAGGCCTTAAATAAAAACATCTTGGTTCACGCTTAGACCCGCGGCCGCGCTCACTGTCTGTACTTCATCCTGCCGCGGCCTGGAGGGAGCCGGGAGGTCTGCGTGTGGGAGGAGGGATGCGCAGCCGCACCAGATGGACAGGAACCGTGTCGTCACTTGTCCAGATGTGCAAACCCACGCACCTACAATTCCTAAGACAAGATCCCGGGTGCAACCGCTTATGGTAATAGGCCCAGGATAAATGCCCCCAAAGGAGAGGGTATGAGTACGAGCACTTTCTAGACTATAAAGTGCTGTGCAATGTGAGGAACAGCTGGGTTGGAGCTGAGTCTCCATGGAATGTGTGCCCCATAGGAGTCCCTGCAGGCTCCCCCCGGCTCCGGCCTCCACGATGTGGGGTCTCCGTGGGCTCCCCACGGCTCCGGCCTCCACGATGCGGGGTCTCCGTGGGCTCCCCCAGCTCTGGTCTTCACGAGGTAGAGTCTGCAAGTGGCTCCCCAGCTTCCACTCCTCACTCAGGGCTCCGCCTCAACAAGCAGCAGCCCGCCTGGCCCCCACTGGCCGTACATCACATCTGTCCCCTTCACGTGGGGACTGGCCTGGAACACAAACCCAAACTCCCCAAGCGCTGAAGAGAGCAGCAGGAAGCCAGCAGCCCCTCACCTGGAGTATACAGCAGGACGTCCACGGCGTGTGGGCAAGTCTCTCCCGCTGAGGGGTTTATCTTGTGCTTCAGGGTTTCCGAGGTCGTCCTGGGAACTGGTGTGGACACTGAAATGCAAGGCACTGTTAGTGTCACGACCCGGGGACACCGGCATTCTCCCACAGCTGACGCCCCACCTTCCCCAGAATGTTAGTTTTGGGGGAGAGCCTTGTAGGCTTGAAACCAGACCCTACAGTGAGGCCTCCCGCCCTCGCAGTGTGTGCAGATGGCGGGCGAGCAGGACACGGCTCCCTCCCCAGCAGGAGGCTGTGTGGTCTGACTCGTCCACACTCGGCCGGACCTAAGACACTCCTCAGTGACCAAATACTCTCAAGACAAAAGCGAGAGAACTCGCCCACGAGTGGTCTCCCAGCCTGGGCGTGTGGACGTGTCGGGCCACTGCTGTGGCTGCTGTGGGGACAGCGGGCAGCGTCCCTGGCCTCACCCGCAGGTGCCCGCAGCGCCCTGCACAGCCACCACTGTCCCCGGCGTTCCCAAGTGCCTCCCCCAGGGATGGCGTGTGGGATTTCACAGAGTTTCATTTTTAAACCTCCCATCCTGGGAGCTACTGAGGCCCGGGAGCAGCGCTGTTCCCTCACAAGCTCTGCACACCAGAGAGCAGTTCCTCGTGGTCACAAGGGGTCAGGACACCGAGCCTAGGGAGCCGGCCTTTGCCACATGGAACAGGGTGCACAGCGAGAGGAAGTGGGCACGTGTCGGCTGCCACCACGGCGACAGTCGCCCGTTTACGAAGGAGTCGGCTTGTGCGTAAACTCCCGATGAAGATGAGGCGTGTGTGTGGACGGAGACAAACAACTGAACGGTGAGCGACAAAGAGCAAAACAGGCCGAAGCGAATAAACCCGGAACTGAGATTCTGGAGCAACGTATTGAGAACCGAGTCTCCAGCTGTGCACCCTGGAGAGGTGACAGCCCGTTTGCAGCGGCATTACTCACGACAGCCAAATGGTGCAACAGCCCAACCGGTCAGCCGACGACACATAAACAACGGTCCACCCACACGATGGACAGTATTCAGAGAGGAGTGACACAGGCCCCGGCGTCGGGGGCAGACCCGAAAGCCCCGTCCCAAATGAAAGCAGCCACCCACGGGAGGACACGTGTTGTGGGATCCGTGTCTGTCAGCTGCCCAGATCAGGCAAATCCAGACAGGGTGGATCTGGGGGCCCGGGGGCTGGCGGGCGGCTGCTAAATGCTACGGGGTTTCTTGCTGGGGTGATGAGGATGTTCTCAGGTTCACTCTGCAGCTCCTGCCGCACAAGCCCGTGAATACGCCACCGTCATGAGCGCGGCACGTAAATTCTCTCCCGGTAAAGCCCTGATGTAAGGACCACGCACCCAAACAGGACTAGAGACGGTCTTAAACACACCCCTGTGTTCTTCGCCTGCGTGTCATGAACGTGACGCTGCTGGCTGACCCAGCACAGGGCGAATGTGGCTCCAAGGGGTGGTGACAGGTGAGCTGGCCTCTGTTTTTTTCTCCTTTATGCAAACTGCAAAACCGTTGGCTTTAGATCATTTAGAAGTTAAAATGGAGGGAAGTAGCTAAAATAATAAACTTATTCTTACCCATTCGCTATTTCCTAGACTTGAAAAATCCACCCCCCACCCCCCGCCCCATATGGCTCCCAGCATGTGAGAGCCAGATTCAAACCTACGTGCAGGTGACCTGAGAATTCCCGTCTGGGGAAAACTGAGCACACCGGGGGCCTCCACGCGGGCACCAGCGTGCACGCCGGCCGCGCACATGGGTCCTGCAAGCTGTCCTGGGGGCGCGTCCCAACTGCAGAGTTCTGCGAGCTCGCCGCCACCCAGGAGCCACTCCGCCGCCGTCCGCGGACCCCGACTCCACTTAAGCAGCCAGCGGAGATCTGTTGCTGGCGACCAGGAAGCCCGACAAACAGCACCGAGCGTGCAGGGGGTGTCACATGTTGGGCAGGAACAGGAAAGCAGAACGGGTGCTACTCAAAAACAAACTTGAAAGCATAAAAGGGAAGAAGGGGGACGTGGCGGACGCATTCTAAGGTCAAGCAGATACAAGCCCGAGGGCGCGCTCAGGACACCACGGCCCCGTCACACACACTTCCCTTACTTTCGTTCTTCATCCTGTCAAAGTGAGACAACTTGGAGGCAGCGTAGATGGCAGCGGGCGACTGCAGCGTGCCGACCACGGCGTCCATCAGCAGGACGTGCGTCAGCGCCTGCTGGATGTACTGCGGGTCCTGCGGGGGAAGGGGCTCCTTTCAACATGGGCTCGGTGCGTCCCCGTTCAGGGCCACACGGGCAGGGTACACTCGGAGTTGGAACCTCCGTTGCCCATCACAGTTAAACACCGGTTGGTCCTACCGGGGGCCGCAGGCGTGTGCCGCAAGGGGCAGGCAGCTGACCCCCAGGCTCTGCGGACCTGTCACCCCTGTGGCAGCCACTCGCCCTGCAGCCGGGGCTTAGCGAGAGGCGCTGCATGGCCCGTGGGCTTTAGTCTGTATGGGGTGGTGCTGAACAAAGCCGCGGCTGTAAAGTCAGAGCGTACCTGGCCCTGGACGGGGTGGCCGCCCTTGCAGCGGTGGTCTGGGCCCCGGGGCCTGGGGACGCTCCCCGCGTTGCCCCCGTGGACCGTGGGCTGCTCCCCCTTCACGGCCCCTGCACTACCCCATGTGAGCCCCACCCACGCTCTGGTCGTGGCTTCGCTGTCCTGTCCTGCCACTTACACCGGACAGACGCCTCGCCCCAAGGGGCCTCCGTGCGTCCATCCGTGGTGTGCCCTTCATGACCATGAAATCTTAACTCCATGCACTCAGAGCCACAGCACGGCCAAGTAAGCGAAGGCACACGGATCGCGAGGCTGTAAAGCTGCCTCGGGGAGGACGCCAACTGCCCCCTGCCACGACCCTGGTCCTGCGGAGCGTTGGAGGACTCGCCTGGAGCAGGGTGTGCCCGGGAGACCCAACTCAGACCTGAGTCCAGCCCCGTCCCTCCGCGGTGTCCCCAAGCACCACCGGCCACCCGCTGGGTCACGCGAACCACATCGCCTCCGGGGCCGCTGGCAGCACCTCTAGCCCGACCCAGGCTCTCGGAACCAAGCCTGAGCCCCCGAGCTCACGAGAGCTGCGCGGGAAGAGGGAGCCGTGGGCTGGGATGAGCAGGTGCCATGTCCCGGACCTTGTGGTCATCGGCCAGCTTCTTCCCGGCCCACATCTCCTTCACCATCAGGTGCCACAGGTCACACTCTGTTTTCAGATTAGCTTCGAACACTTCCTTCTTGGACACCACTTTAATTTTTAGAGTCGGAATTCTCAGAAGCAGAAACGTGACCGTGGTGCTTCTCACTTCCTGGGGAGACACAACAAGCGGAGGCCGGTCAGTGCCACAGGCCCTGGCAGAGACTCGGGGTCCGTGACAGGAGGCAGCAGGCCCGAGGTTGGGCAGCGGCAGCTACCGTGACAGCAGGGCCTCGGGGCGGAGGGCCCCCGTCACGGGAAGGCAGGCCCGGGAGACAGGGGTGGAGCCGGCTGGCCAGGCTGCGGGCCCGGTCCCGGGCGGGAGGAGACAGACGGCCAGAGAGCGAGGACTCTGTGCCACCCTGCTGTTGGCACAGGTCACAGCAGGTCGGGGACCCAGGCGCGTCCCCTAACTGGTGGGCCGTAGCGGCACCCGTTAGCTCATCAACACATCCCCACGGGGCGATGTCCGCGGGACTCAAACAGGGTCCCTCTGCCTCCTGAGACACCTCTCCCTGGAATTCCAGGAGGGAGTCTGGGGTGGAGGACGGGGTGGGAGACCTGCCGGCCGCCCCCGCCCCCCCACCTCCCCGAGCGTTCAGAGCTGGGCTAACTCGTGTAACCAGCCTGTTGAACGTGAGGCGTGAGGCAAGGACGCAGCAGCATCCCACCAGCACCCCAGGGCAGGAGGGGCGCCCCCAGGCAGCAGGCAGTGCAGGCGGCGCTCACCTCGATGTTCCTGAAGGTGGAGATCTCCACGTAGCCCGGCCTCCCTTCCGTCAGTAGGAACAGGCGCTTCTGGGTCATGGCGATCTTGCCCACGCCGCGGTTGGTCTTCACGGAGCTGGACAGCTTGTACACGCACTCGTTCTTATCCAGATGCTCCGTCACCGACAGCGGCAGGCTGACCTCCTGGGCCTCGGCCTCAGCCTCCTTCCAGCAGTTGTAGAAATCCTTGAATGTTTCCGGGTCAATCTGTTTCTGGTGTCCTGGATTTTGTAAAAAAAAAAAAAAAAAAAAAAAGAGATTTCTTAGGGCCCCGACACAGTGGCCAGCGGAGGATGGCCAGCTCCCCTGGACTGCGCTGTCCGCACTGGCCAGCAGGTGGCGCCAGCACTCAGCGCCCCCCCCCCCCCAGCACCCTCCCTGCTCCCCCTGCACTCTCTCCCCTCTCCCCCAGGGTGGCCACTCCCTCCGGGGGATGGGGACAGGATGGGGACATCCGTGACCTGAGCCCAGCAGCCCCTGCAGCTCCTGGGTCACGCTTGTTATGGTGACCATGCCCCGGGTCACCACTAGACCTGGTGGGAGGCATCCTGGGGCCACGAGGGGAGCAAGTCCTCAGATGAAGCTGATGCTAAAGAGAACAGCCCCTGGGTGGCCCTCCTACATCCCTGGATCGAGCCTTGCCTGAAGCCAGCCCTAAGCGAGCCCTATCTACATATTCTTTGGTCACGTGAGCAAGTGAGTCTTACCACTTGTCACCAAGGCGACCTCAGCAGATACGACAACCTTTCTAAATGCCCAGCGGTCACGGGCTCTGGCGCCAGAGACCTAGGTCCAAAGGCCAGCTCTGCTGGTTAGCGCTGTAACACCCAGGAAGCCGTGTAATGAACCTGCGTGCTGATCCGCAGAGCGCAGATGGGCCCCCGCCTCGCCCCCGACTGCCGAGACGTCTGGCCGTTCTAACCCCACCTTGGCCGGGTTCTGCCTTGGCCCGCATCCTGACTGGCGTGTCCCTCTCCCTGCCCCCCTTACGTCCCACACAGCCCGGCCTTCGGAGCCGCCCGCCCCCACGGCCTGCCGCACCGGGCGCCAGAAGGCCCCAGATACAAGTAGGAGCTCCCACTCTCTCGTTCTAACACTTCAGGGCTCCTCATCTACACCCAGCCCCGAGTTCCCCGGGACTGAGCCCCTCATCCCTCCACACCCCACGTTCCAGTCGTACCACGGAGACTCTGAAACAGACTCTACGTGCTTCTGCACGCACTGGTCCAGAAAACTCCTACGCATCCTTCAAGACCCACATAAAACATTCCTGTGCTCCCTTCCCGGCCAAGCCAGTCGTCCTGGCCAGGCAGCTGCCAAGCCGCACACACGTTTCAGGCCGGCACCGCCACGCTGTGCGACACATGCGCCACCTTACACGGATCCGTCTTGATCCTCCCGCCCCCCTCAGGACGCCGGCTGTTCACAGATCAGGAAACCGAGGCACAGGGAGGGAAGCCCTTGCGGGCAGGGTGAGTGTGGAGCCGAGCCCCGTGGCCGGGCTGATGCTGCAGTGTGCGGGGGGCTGTGCCTTCCTGCCGGTGCCCCGGGAGCGCGGGAGCCCTGTCCTCCCAGCCGGCCTCGCGGGAGGCTGACCCGAGAGGGACGGGCAGCCTAGGCCAGAGTCCTCCCGAGCGGCAGCGGAACCCAACGGCGCACATCCGAGAGCTCCACGCGCCCATGGGGGCTCACTGGTCCCCAACTCTGCACAGAAACGCCGACTGTTCCGTCCCGCACCGTCACCCCGTCACGTGGCAGAGGCGGTGTCACCGCAGTCCCAGGCCCCGCGGCCACGCAGCACACACCCCGGCCCCGCGGCCGCACAAGCAGCCACTTCAGTCTGTCCCACGATGGGAGCATTGAGCTTCGACTCCTCTAACGCGCAGCTGTTAGGCCGGAACGTGCGCGTCAGGAGCTGCCCTGCAGCAGCTTGCACATCCCAGCCCCAGGACTACTCGCTGGTGGCGTTTGCGAAGTGAAGGGGACCAAAGCGACAACAGGAGGTCAACGGCCCCGTCCGCGTCGCCCACGCCCACGGATGCCCTCGGGGCGTCCTCCGCGTCCCTGCTGGGGGGCGTCCTCCGCATCCCTGCTGGCACGAGCCCGGGAGTGCTGGGCACTGGCCACGCGTCCAGCCGTAAAACCATGTTCCCTAGGCGGCCATGTGCTGCGGGACACACCTCTGGCCGCGGGAGCGGGACCGACCCTGCTCCTTCTGCAGGGGAACAGCGCTGTCTGGGGCCCTTGGTGTCTCGTGCCACGGGGCAGCCGTCAGAGCGCGGGCCTCTCGCTCCCCAGTGGCTGGACCCCGCCCCCCTCGGGCCTTCTGCTGACTGGCTGCCCCACATCCTTCCCCACAAAGGGAAGGGGCAGGGGCTCCCCTAAGAGGCGCGTCATGGGGGGTCTGCACTCCCCCTGCCTGGCTGCCCGAGGCTCTCTGTCCCCCTGGACGCGGCTCATCCACCCACACTGTCCGCCCCACGGGTGCCCCCTGGGTGCCCAGCCCGACGAGCTCCACTGCACCCTGCCCGGGCCAAGGCGGTGTCACATCTCTGCAGGGAGGTGACGGGGCCGGGCTGCCTGCACCTGGGTCAGACCGACGGCCTGGGACCGTGGACAAGCCTCCGCTGTGGGAGAAGCAGCACACGTGTGCATGAACAGGGGGGCACGGCCAAGCCCAGGGGAGACGCTGCCAGGCCCACGTTCCACAGAGGACGCGTCTGCCGAGGACACAAGGTGGCCCCACTGTTCTAAGGAGAAGACGACGATCCTGAGACAGAAATGGACAGAAGATGCCGGGACGGCTCCCAGATGCTCGTCCAACCCACAGAACACAAGAGGCAGCACCCAGCGTGGCGCGGGGCGGCGGGAAGTGGGCGTCTTACAGGTGGTGCAGCCCCCGAGGGCGAGGGCAGCTCTCAGGATGGGGGCACCAGCCCCGGGGAGACCCGTCCACAGTCACCTGGGGAAGCGGCTGCGGCACAGGTCACCAAGGCTTCTGACAGGCCACCGATGGCCAAACAGGCAAGCGCACCGTGCTCTGCCCCTGCCGTGCCCTTGGGAACCCAGCTCCATAAGCCAGATGCGCAGGTGAGGGGTGAGACATGATGCTGAATGTCACCGAGGTGCACCGACACGGCAGGACACAAGTCCACGTCACTCGAGACCACACGGACCTACATACCACCTTGGGACACGCCCATTTAGCAAACACAAAAGGACACGGTCAGAAGGGCATGCTCGCGTTGGGGTCGGTGGTCCCCGAGGAGGGAGGGGCAGAAGGTCCCCAAGGGACCAGGCCATGGGGGACGACACGGCATTCTGGTCGTGCCGCTGGCTGCGCGGGAAGCGGTCCCAGTGCGGGAGGGACGGCGCGCGGGGAGCAGGTGCCCCGGGGGGGCACAGAGCCTGCAGCGGCTTCAGGGTCTCCGGCCGCACTCCCCACACCCTCGGGCGGCCCCTCCGTGGACTGGTCCCACGTACCGACACTCCACAGCAGGGCCACAGCTGCCTCTTACCCACGGTCAGCGCCTCGAACAGCCGGTGGATGGTGTTGGTGTCCTTCACGATGCCCGACTCCTGCACCCTCTTCACGAAGTCATCCAGCTGCATGTGCTTCTTGGGCAGCTCGAAGTTCTTCACGCGGTCGTCCGGCTTGGGGGCCTCTCCAGGCTTGTCCACCACCTCGCTGATGAGCCGCCGCAGCTCAGGCACCCGCTCGGCCTGGGCGCGCTGGGGACCCGACAGGGACCCCACCGTCCTCCGAACGAGATCGGCAGGAAAGATTCTGATGTCCGTCTTGTACAGGCTCTGAAAGTCCAGCAGGGCGTCCAGCAGCTGCCCCTGCATCAGGTGCACGGCCCCGCGGAGGTAGTAATACCTCGCCAGGAGCACGGAGCTGTCGGGAGCCAGGAGCCCCATGGCCTTGCTCAGCAGGGCGACGCAGTCGGAGTAGTAGGCCTGCACGCACTGGCTCACCAGCGGGAAGTGGATCTCCGGGATCTTGAACGTGTAGGTCGACGGAGGAGTCACGTTCAGGACTAGAGGGGAAACACACACACCGTCAGCTGACCCTAAATCCCCCCCGCCCTGTGTCCCCGTCATCTAGTCTGGCTCTACGTTTCTGCGCCCCGGGGGCCACGTGAGGTCAGAACCTCTGAGCCTCTTCCAGGAAGCTCCACGTGCCTTGAGCTGGATGAGGGCCCCCTGAGTCCCCCACTTTGCTTCCACGGCACCCTAGGATAATCGTGTCTGCTAAGACATCAGTGCTAAATGGAAACATCTGGTAGCAAGTCTTCAGGGGAGGGTCACGTGGACAACCTAGGCCGGGGAGCGCGGCCGGCCAGCGTGAAGCCCCGTACGCTGGCGGCTTCGTTTGGCTTGACGGCCACACTGAGACACGGCCACCACCGTCGACCAGCCTCACGCATGCGCATGCTGCGGCCTTGCTCGTCCCAGGCGCAGCACTGCTACGTGCCGGAGCCGACCAACTGAGCCATGTCTCATGGATTCCGTCCACGTCACCTAAGGGCCCCCCAGGAGGCCAGGGGGCCAGGCCAGGCCTGGAGGAGGGCCACCCCCCACCCCAGGGAGGTGGCATCTCGGCCGTGAAGCCTGGAAGGGCTGGGGGGCTGTAGATGAAGGTTCAGAGGGCAGAGAGGGCACAGCGCCCGCCCACAGGGCAGTGAGACAGTGACAGGCACCCCTGGCTCGCGGGAGAGCAAATACAGGCCCGGAGGCGAAGTCCCCTGCCCAGGGCACACGGCCTGCACATGCTGTGGGGGGCCCAGACCCAGCAAGTGCTGCCTGGACGCCTGCTCTGACATGGGACCTTCGTCTAGAACACACTGCCACCCCTGAGGCCCCCTGGGTGTGCCTTCCTTAGGAGGCACCCCTGGGACCTGGTGCCTTGGCCCGGGCAGCAGCCACAGGGTCCTCTGGCTCACGGTGCCTGGCCTCGCCCCTGGCCACTGTGGATGGAGCGTGACTCCTGAGGGTAGACACCTGAGGCACACGCGGCACGCGCTGCTGCAGCTTACATGCAAACGAGACACGGGCCTGCACGCGTGCACACGTGCTGTGGAGCGGCTTCACGCCAAGGAAACTGTGCACACAGACCTGCCTCTGAGACGGAGCTGCAGCCCAGGACGGTGGTGACAGGCCCATGCTGTCCCTCCACCTGCCGTCTGCCACCGGAGGGGGAGGGGGGCCTGGCCTCACTATCCCCACTGTCTCTGCTGAAATGCGGCTCCCACACCCAAACCCTATCAGCAGCCCTGATGCTGCTTCCCCCGTGCCAGCAGGGCGCCCACCCGACGCTCAGGCTCTGACTTCCTGCCGGGAGCGTGGCTCCACGAGGGCCGGGGACACTGGGGCCTTTGTACCCCCGGGAGCCAGAGATGGCGCGGCACCCACTGGGGCCTAATGGTTGTCGCGTCCACGTGTAAACATGCATCTTGCACGTCCTTGCGTGTGCCCAGACACCAAAACCCTGTAGAGCGCTGTCTACAGCAGCGTGACCGACGGTTGGAAAATGCAGGTAAGAAATCATTTTCCATAATGAACATAATTTGCAATGTAAATACTCTAAAAATACTTCAAACAACTAAACTGCTAAAAAAAAAAAAAAAAAAAAAAACCCGCCCCACTCCCCTGCACCGAGACAGGCTCAGCCGCGGTCAGCGACATCGGAGCCGGGTGACGGGAGACAGCGCCCCGGATGGGGGCCGGTGTATCACCTACGCTCCCGCAGCCCGTGGAGTCGACTTTCCTCAGCGACGAGTTCCGGGCCAGCAGCTCGGGAACCGCTATGTCCTGCAGGTTGGGCATGCTGACCACCATCCGCCTGTGGACGGCGTGCAGGGCCGAGGATTTCCGCGAGGCCATTTTCTCAATGGTTGGTCTTCTTGGACTTGCCAGCATCCCATTTAACCTGGGGTTAGAGAAAAGCAACACCTTATAGATCCGAGTACGGCCGGAGACCACGTCCCAGCCCCTGAGCGTCCTCTCCGACGCGGCACCCGGAGCCAGATGTGGACACACTTGAGTGGAAAACAGGGCGGGAGCACTGTGTGTGGGTGTCCCCAGGCGCAGCGAGCGGCTGTGTCCCCACAGGAACGAGTCCAACGTGTTATATGTTCCTAAATGTGAGATTTTCTGGTCGAATGTATCATTCATCCACCCAAATAAATCCACACTCCTGGGGCGTCTGGGTCCCCAGAGTCCCGCGCCCCCATCGGTGGCAGCACCTGTCCTCCTCGGACTGCGTGTTGAGGTCCATCTGGGCGAAGGCATCCATCCTCCTGCTGAGCCGGGCTTTAAGGAAAGCGTGAAACATGTAGGTGTCCAACACCTGAAACAGACCACGGGAGGCCAGTTACCGCCGCGCTCTGTGGCCAGAGCGCCCACAGCGCTGCCCGGCTCCCACCCCCACCCTGACCCCCACCCCGGCCGCGGTCTCTCCTTGGACACAGGTTCCTAAGCCAGTAGCTGTCTTTACTGTACCCTCCACATCCTCTCCGAACACTCGGCATTTGAAAAATCACCAGAAGTTCAAAAGCTCAACCACCTTCCCCTGGTGACAACGAAGGCTGGCGCACACCTGTGGCTGGCGCACACCTGTGGCTCCCATGACCCAGCTGCTGGTCTCTTGAGGGAAAAGGCAACCCCAGCTGCCGGAGCTTGTCCCTACCCTGCTCCCTGCTGCAGGCCAACAGCCCGCGGGGGACAGGGCTCAGGCCCAAAGGCCACTGCCCAGCCGAGGGCCGGTCGGCCGACGTGAACGACTGCCATGTGGCCCTGAGGCACGAGAGCCGCAGCTCCGCAGCAAGGCTCGGACGCCCCTCTGGCCACCAGCTGGACAGGGCGCCACCGAGGCAGGCAGCCCAGCTTCCCGCCTGGAGCTCGGGGCTGAGGCAGCTCTGCAAAGGGTTCTAGAAGCCAGCACGGGACGCCCTCTGCCTGGGCTGGGCGCTGCCCTGGACGGGGAAGCCAGTGGAATGAGGCGGAGCAGGAGTGGGGCCGGGGACGCACTGCAGGAGGCCTGCGTGGGGGAGCCCTGCTGGAGGGGGAGCCTGGCCCCCGGGGAGAGGCTGCTCGACACAGCGGCTTGAAACAGACGAGAACGGAAGCGTCCCATGTGCCTGTTAACACATGGACAGAAACACAGGGCCGCCTGCCGCGCCCGACGGAAAGGCCCCGCCTCGATCCCAAGGAGGCGGCTCGAGGCGCACACGTCCCCCTGAACGCATCACCCACGACACTTAAAATGTGTGTCTCATGACACATGACACATACGTTACACTCCAAGGAGCTGACCCCAAAACGGAGGGAGGGCCAAGGGGTCAGAAGGAACCGCGCCACAACTAACTTTCTGGAAACACTAGTCCTTAATAAGATACTAACCGATGCCGAAGAAACTTACCTTGAACCTCGTAAGGACAGAAACGCCCGCGGGACAGAAGACGCGCACACGAGCCCACGCCCTCCTCACCTGTCTGTAAAACTGCTGGTCCCCCGGAGCTCTGGTTTTGAGAAATTCCTCGCTATTAAACACCCTGTGTTCATAATTTAAGTGATTCTTCACGTCCCTGGTGAAGAGAAAGATGGTCGCAGGGCTGAGATATTTTTAAATACAGGAGAAAGTCGTCCGTCTTTGGCGACACACACGACAGGAAGTACACACTCTGCCAGCCCGGGCCTGGACAAAGGGGACCCGGATCCCAGGGGGCTGGGGCTGGGCGCGCCCGCTGCTCTGGCTGCTCCACGACGCAGCCTGGCTTTTCTGTCCCAGGAGGGACATCAGGGCTCTTCCCCGTCCAGACCCGACTTCCTCCCGCAGAGGACGCGGCCGCCACGAACGGTTCTCACTGTTCGCACACAGCGGGCTTGCGGGGGCGACCCCATGGGGCAGGCGGACGCTCGGAGCGTGAACCCACGCGACCGCCTCTAACGGGCTCATGGGCCACGTTCCCTGCGTAGGACACTCAACGTTTTCCACTGTCAGGGGAAAACTATCGAAGGGACATAGAGTCTGATAATCTGTATTTTTGTATTGTCTGCTTCTTTACAAATTTGTCAAAGCTTATAAGGTCTTCAAAAAAACAACCCAAAAAATAAAAAATAAAAAATAAATAAATAAATAAAAATAAATAAAAAACAAACCTGGGACGCCTCGGGGGCTCAGTGGTTGAGCATCTGCCTTCGGCTCAGGGTGTGACCCCGGGGTCCCGGGTTCGAGTCCCACATCGGGCTCCCTGCATGGAGCCTGCTTCTCCCTCTGCCTGTGTCTCTGCCTCTCTCTCTGTCTCTCTCATGAATAAATAAGTAAAATATTTTTAAAAAGAAAAAAATATATTTAAAAAAATAAGTAAAATATTCTTAAAAAAGAAAAAAAAAACCCAACCTTGTTCATAAAAGATTTAATTTCAAAAGGACAAAATAAAAATAACATATTAGCGTCCATACTGATTATACTGCCCTGAGTGGTGGCAGCGTGACCTGCCTATGCTGCCCTTCCCATGTTTTTCCTGGTAAGTTATTTGTTTTAGGGAAACATGTACATCTGGAGTCACTGAATAATCACGAAGAGCGTACTCAAGTCCACAGGCCCCGCTCTCAACCCGGCAGGTCCAGAGGCAAAGCGATCAAGGAGAGAGTGGGGGAAAAAAATCCAGCCTGAAGGCTCTTTCGCTAAAAATAACCCTTCATAGACTTGCGATATAATCTAGGCACATACGTATCGTACACGCCTCGGACGACCACACATTCGGGCCAGAAATAGAGCAATCCCCGTGCTGCACGGCTTCCCGGTGCGCCTGGCCGCCTCTGGCCCCCGGGATGGTGCGGGGGGCACACACAGAAATGAGGACAAAGAGCAAGACCATGTGATGGGGACAGATCCCAAGTGCCGCCACGGGGAGGGCGGACTTCGTTCCCAAAGTGACCCGAGGGTCCCCAGCTGGAGCGATACCCCCACCCCTGCCCTGAGGCCGGAGGGGCGAGGATTCTAGCCGCATCCGCGTGGGGCCAGCGGCACCTCCCACAGACATGGTCTCCGGTACCTGAAGATGCTGAAGAGCAGCTGCAAGGCCACTTGCTGCACTTGGCAGTTGAGCCTCCGCTGCCAGGCCCGCCGGCGGGCACGCCCCTCGTTCAGGTCCGTGCTGGCACCCAGGTGGGCGAGGTCCAGCTCGTGGTGCAGCTGCAGGCTCTGGACCCTGGAAGGGACAGACGGATGCTGACCGCCGTGCACGCCGCGCTCCGGAGGCCTTGGGGGCTGGGGGAGAACCGGCCGGCCGGGGGCCGCCCTCTCAGGCGCAGGAACACTCAGGATGCACAGAAGACAGGTGGGGCGGTCATAAATGCACAGACCTGGAGAGTCGCTCCATACAAACAGCTCATCCGTGCACGACCCACAGAGGCCTCACCTGTGACCATGCATGTTGCACCCAAGTTGTGCCCGCCAGGCGAGGGCACGCACTCCCCAACCCAGGAAGGCCACAGGGTTTCCCGCACCGGCTGCCTCCTGGCGGCAGCTTCCCACCACCACGCCCCGTCCGAGAGGATCGGATGCACCCGACGTCCTGTGTGTCACGGCCCTCACCACCCAGAGGGGCGTCCAACCACGCTGGCCTCCCTGGCACTTTGGAAACCAACCAGCAAGCATGTGGTTTACATGCAAAATACACCAACGCATGCCCACCCCACCCATGCCTCCAGGGCACCTCCTGCACACCAGGCACCGTGTGGGTATGGACTGTGTGGTGACCACAGGCAAAGCTCCAGGATGGGGCTCACGTTCAGGTGGGAAGAAACAGAAGCGCACACCCCAGATAGGAGGTCGTGGGGAGGGGGAGGCGAGGAGGGCGTCAGAGACGGGACAGCTGGAAGACAGCCTGGCTGGTGGCTGAAGAGAACCCCTCGAGGACCTCGGGCCTGAAAGGTGAGGAGCAGACGGACACGGACAGCCCTGAGCGGGTAGGGAGAGCCCAGCTGCCAGAGGCCCCACGGGAGGGCCCCAGGGGTCGGTGGGGCCGGCGAGCACCCTGGATTTGCCCCACGGGTGACAAGAAGCCACTGCTGGACCCAGGCGTCCCAGCCGCGCCGACCCTGGCTGACCTGTTCAGGGCACCGCCACCTGGAAGGGACGGAGTGCGCCCCGCAGAACGAGTCGGTACAGTGCCTGTGGCAGCGGTCCCCTCCCTGCGTCCTGTGCTGGGACAAGCCCTCTGCTGGAGCAGAAGGCTGTCCCTCTTACCTGAGTGCTCAGCGAGTCCACCTGTGAGAGTGGGGGTCCCTGTGCTGCCCTGGGAGGTTGGGGGCAGGGGTGACTGGGGGTGGGGTCTCGGGGGGAAGGGCGCTGCTTCCTGTCCCGCCCCAGCAAAGGCCCCAGGGGACAGCCGAGCACTCCAGGACCCGGGGGACACAGACCACCATGGCCCGGCATGGCCCTCCAGATGTGCGTTAGCGCACGTGGCTGAGACCGAAGGATGGCGCATCCCACCCTCTGAGGGTCCAGCCGAGCAGAGATCCAAGCCGCTGTGTCTATTCTAGAATCCTGATGCCACCACCCAGACAAGGGCAAGAGCCCCATCCCCGGGGATGCTCCACCCATGCACAGCTGAGACCGCACCCGACACTAGCGCCCACCGTGCTACGTCAGATTCTGACCGTCGTCAGGGGACAGGACTTTTGCTCATCAGAAAGTGAACTAGAAACGTAGGTGGTTTACCTCCTAGGTTCTCACAGGGCGCTGCCCCAGCAGGACACTGCTCAGGGCCCCTTCACACGCCCAGCAGTTGCCACAGATCAGCCCTGAGGGCGCCAGGGCGCTGCCCCACCAGGACGGCCAGACGCCCCCCACCAGGACCGCACCACCGTCTGGCAGATGGTGACAGCTCCTCCACCCTCCCCAGAAGCAGCAGGTAAGAAAGTCCCCGCCTCCAGGACGGAGGCTGCAAAGCCTAACGTGGCCCTTCTGGGGAGAAGATGCTGCCTGACGGAGGCCAAGGTGGGGGGGCGGGAGGGGGGCAGAGTTGCAAAGACCATGCAAGGGGCAGCAAGGAGGCAGCCAGGGCGCTGAGGGGGGCGGGGGCAGGCGCCCTCCTGTGAGCTGCTCAGCGGGACACATACCTGCCAACCTGCCCTGTGTGGGGCATCCCTGGGGTCTGAATACATGTTTGCGGGGGGGGGGGGGGGGGGGGAGGAGAAGAAGGAGAGAGGAGGGGAGGAAGAAGGGAGAGAAGGGGAAGGAGAAGGGAGAGAGGAAAGGGAGGAGAGAAGGGAGAGAAGGGGAAGGAGGGGAGGGGAGGGGAGGGGGAGGAGGGAGGCAGGAGGTGGAGGAGCTCAAAAGCTCACAGGCACAGGGCAACGCCACAAGGGCTGGGGGGGGGCACTTGACCTCCTGGGACCACGACTCGACTGGTACGTGGACAGACGACTGTCATCCTAAGACGTTCACAGATCACTCGCGAACCCTAAGACAGGAGCACGGACCTCACAGAACGGCAGGAAGACGCTGGGGACGGGCAAGCGCAGAAGTGGGGCAGCAGGAGCCCCCCTTACCTCTGAATAAACGTCTGTGCCGCCAGCAGGGGGACGTCAGGGAGGTCGACGTCCTCATCGTTAGAGCAGGTGATGGTCCCGTTATCGATGTTTATCAGGACCAGGCCGTCCGCCTCCTATAAGTTGGTAAAGATTGGTGTGAGTCTGATTCACGGACACCTTTGAAAACACAGGAAGATGCACTTGCGCTGCCCAAGGCAGTGTCGCCACGGACGGAGTCCCCGTATCTAACAGGCCGTCCCTACCACACGTGCAGCGCACGCTGCGAGTCATGTTAACGAGCCGGGTGGCTCAAATCCGCCGGGTCTGGTCAGGATTCCACTCGGGCCAGGCTCTCAGCTGCCCTGGTACACACCCTGCCGGCCACTTCAGGGGGCCGGGACAGAAGGTTCCAGAACTCCACCCCTCCTGCAAGTGTGGCTGGGGCCCTGGGCTCGGTGAGCACGCACTTAGGATTTCTGACCTACGTGCCCAGGTTACTCGTACAGCCTGATGCGTGACGTGTGACAGACACTGAGGCCGCACCCAGCGGTCCCGGGAATGTGGCTGGGCCCCCGGCTCTCCCTCTGGACGCCAGCTCTGACGTGCTCCAGGCAGCACGGGAAGCGTGCACATGCCGTCTTCTGGCACAAACGCACGGCACTGACTGGGGAGGTGAGCCGGGCCGCACGCTTGTGAGCCGCAGCACGCGTGCTGTAGGACCGCATCCCGGGCCCCGGGCCCCACGGAGGAAAACACAGGCTGCAGCCTGTCCCGGAATCTTCCAGAACAGGTAAATCCCTGCACAGGCTTCCTTCACGACATCGGACGTGAGCTGTCAGGTGAATGTGCCGGCAAATTCCCCAGGGAAAGGACTGAAACAAGAGGGACTTTTCCCAAATGATGAACAAGAGACACACGTTTTCAATGTCAGAGGATGGGTGGCGCGTTCTTCCTCGTTTGCAAGGCAGACTGGGAGTCGCTTTCGTTCTGAACGTCCTTTCCCCAAAGTGTGTTTGTCACTTGGTGAGTCACTGGCTTTGGCAAGAAGGCGGATGGAACCCGGCTCCTCCCCGGGATGGCCGGGTGGGTCAGGGCCCCTGGAACCTTCCCGGGCACCTTCCCGGGATCCGCTCTGAAACCCTCCAGGCCCCGCACAGCAGCTGGGCTGCAGCCGACGGGCGCCGAGGGCAGGAAGGAGCACCCGGCGTGTCCGCACACTCAGAATGGCCACGGCAGGAGGCGCCCCACCCTGAGCGACGCCGGGAAGCACGTGCGAGGGCACTCAGGTGTTAGCCCCCGGGGAAACCACTGGGATCCACGGTAAGACGCCGCGCTCGCCGGGACGGCCAGCCCGGCAGGGACACACAGGGACGATGCTGGCAGGGAGGGGAGAATCGGAGCTGCCGGCGGCCCGAAGGCCACCGTCTCCCGCGGTGTGGACCCGCGGTAAGGGAAAGCCCAGTCCACGCGGAGCCCGCACGCCCACGCGGGCCCACAACTGCACTGCTCACGGGGGCCAAATGTCCACACAACTCAGAGGTCCATCAACCAACGAAAGGACAAATGAACCATGGCACGGTCCCTCGACGGGATCCTGTGCCGCAGCAGAAGCACGGCTACGTGGCTGGTTGACGCAGACAAACCGAGAGGACGCTGTGCCGAGTGACGGCAGCCACGAGAGGTCGGCTGCCGCCACAGAACCACGTGGATGCAACGGGCAAAGCCACGGGGAGACACAGGGCTGTGGGGCGGCCAGAGGCAGGCGGAGGGCAGCGCGGGGGACGCTGACGCACATGGGGCTTCTGTGTCGGGTGCCGGGAATGTCTGGTTAAGGTGCACAACTCTGCAAAGTCACAGAGAGCCGCTGAGGTGCACGTCGTAATCCGGTGAACTCCGTGGTCTACGTGTTTTCTGTGAACAGAGGCGTCTTATAAAAGCCAAACCCGCTGTGGCCGCTGATGGTCCCATGTTTCCGGCCCATCCACAACGTCGGCTCACCATCCGAACGCAAGTCACGAAGCACTTACGGGATGCCCGGTGCTGCACTAACGGCCCTTTGACCTTTGCTGCGACCGCGGGGCCGGGAGGCCGGCTCACGTGCAGGTGTTACAGGTTTGTGTCCGCGCTGTCCACGGGTCTTGGTGGCGCCACTTCCGAGGAGGAAGACGAAGAATCGTGGGTGGCAGGCAAGGCTTGCTGAGCCGCAGTAACAAGGCTGCCAGACGGGGAGGGGACCCCAGGGGCTGCCACTTTGCCATTCAAATCGGGGGCCTTCACCAGCTCTTCCAGGAGCCGCCCTGAGCATGCCGAGCCGGGGCCCCTGTGGACTGGGATGGCGTGCCCGTCAGGGCTTTGGTCGTGCACCCGCCTACCTGCCGTGTTGAGGGTCTTGTGGTGACATCCAGAGGCGCTCTGCTCAACCTGTGCCAGTGACCCAGGTCCTACAGCTCATTATTCTGCATCCTCATATTCTGCATCAGGATATTTTGTGAAAGTCACTCCTGCAGAGGCTGCTACACAGGATGCACCTGTGGTCTCGTCTGCGTGGCCGAACAGGATGCTGGTGCGGTTGTCCTCGCCATCCCGGCTCCCCTTCTCTCCTGGGGGCCCCCGGCCCTCACTGCCTAAGCGTCCCGTTACCCTCCAACACAGTCTTTTACGACCAGGACACATGAGGACCTAACGCTGCTGCGGGTCCGGCACCGCAAGTAACTGGTCACCGCACATGGCAAGGCCCCCGCCCCCACCAACGCTGAACGACACGCTGCGTGGAGAGGCATCTTCCAGCAGGAGGTCCACGGCATTCCTGAACAACAGAAGCTTCACCGGAGAAGCACAGGATCTGGAGCGGGGGCACCGGTCACCGCGGCCTGTGGAGCCCTGTCATGCACTGGCGGGTGCGGGGTGGCCCCTGCTTGGAGCCCTGCCCGGGAGGATGTGCCCGCTTCTGAGGCAAGCACGCCGAGGTTGGCAATGGCTGGCACCCCACGCGAGCCCACGAAACCAGAAAGTGGCCAAGGCCGGGCCGGACAGTGGGCTCCACTGGCACCGACACCCACACTCTCCTTGCCGGAGCTGCGGGAAGCCCCAGGGAATTACGTGGACTGGAAGTGACACCAGGTCCCGGCACCCAGAGCACCATGGCCTCGAACACGCCCGAAGGCCACAGTGGGCCGTGGAGACGAGTGACAGCCCCGGTGCATGTGTATGTGTGTGCGGCACCCAGAGCACCAGCCCCAGGGCCGCAGTGGCTGCCCTCCCCTGGGGCCGGGGCGCGCAGCCCTCCCTCATGGTCCTTTCAAAGCCACTTCCCACCAGTCCCCGCGGGAATCACGAGGACCCAATGTTCAAGCTGACAGTCGAGGCCTCACCTTGCTGACTTCTTCAAAGTAGTCGAGGTGGCAGCCCATGAGGAAAGACGTCGGCGCCATGACGAAGTCCAGCATCTGGCCCGACAGGACGGGCACGAACGTGTGCTGCCACTGCAGGGGGTGCAGGTAGGCCATGAAGCACTCGGCGACCAGTGGCAGCAGCGCCCAGTTGGAGGAGAAGAACACGATCCGCTGCTCCGTGAGGAGGCACGTCAGGATCTGGGGGGAATCCACACCGTGTGCACACCTCCGGCCGCGCGCCAGGCGCTCGACTCGCGTGTACGTGCGCCACCGGAACCAGATGGGGCCCGGGTCCACGGGATTCCCTGCTCCGTTTGCCAAAGCCAAAGCCCCTTTCACCCTCCGAAAAGCACGCGTCGTGAGCAGCGTGCACTCCCTGCATGCCTCTGCTTGGAGCGGGAAGCGTGGAGGCACGCCGTGGGACAGCAGCGACCACGGCTTGGACAACCCCTAAGCCAGCCTGCCCGGGACGCCGCGGGGCCGAGGCACGCTTACCTGCAGCACCTTCTCAGGCCTGAAGCACAGCAAGGGCAGGTGGAGGTCCAAGTCGATGACAGGGCTCTCGGGGTCCGCGCGCGAGGGGAACACGATCTGGAGCGGCTTCATGTTAAATACCTATGACGACCAAGGTCCACAGTGAGTTCAGGGAGCAGCTCCCAGCAGAGGCCGAAATGCACCGAAACTCTCCATTTAGGATACGTTTTTGAAGACTCGCACTGTCGCCCCGTATGTCCCCGAACAAAACGGCCTCGAGACACACGGCACTGCTGAGAAAGGCTCACGCGTGAATCAGGTTGGGAACGTCGTCATCAGCCAGACCTCTCTAAACTCTTTACTTAATTAGCAAAGCGCCCGTCGGCACAGATAAGCTGACACCGGGACGCCTGTCCCGACCAAGCACGTTCCGGTCAGCCTTTGCTACAACACGTACTGCATGTTACGAATTCTCAGCATTTTCAACCTAACTGTCAAAGTTCCTTAAAGATGTGGAATTCAAGATGCTGCTGAGAAAGATTTGCTTTTCCAAAGTGGGGGATCCCTGGGTGCCTCAGCAGTTTAGCACCTCCCTTCAGCCCAGGGTGTGATCCTGGAGACCCGGGATCGAGTCCCATGTCGGGCTCCCTGCATGGAGCCTACTTTTCCCTCTGCCTGGGTCTCTGCCTCTCTCTCTGTGTGTGTCTCTCATGAATAAAATCTTTAAAAAAATTATATTTTTCTAAAGGATATTATTTTAAAATAACACTTCAAATTCAGCATCTGCAGACTGCCCCTTCTGTGGACAGAGGGGGACGGACAGGGGCTGTCCAGCTCGATGGCAAGTTCGCAGCTGACTGCAGGTGTCAGCCTCGTGGGGGGTGCCCAGAAGCAGCCCCGGAGCCCCGCGGACGAGCAGAACGGGGTGACCCGAGGGTGAGCAGCGCCGGGCAGAAACCACAGAGAGAAGCAACGACTCTGAGGACAGAGAAGCTCCCGCCAGGAAACGCGTGGAAGGGGGAGAGACGCGGAGGATGGGGCGGGCAAGGTCCCGGGACAGATGCTCGCCATCCACGCCTCCTCACGTCATCACTGCTCTCCGGGCCCCCTCGTGTAAAAGAAACCTGACTGTGCCGGGGACGCATCTTGTCACCCCGGGCTGCCCTCTTGTCACCGACTGGCCCACAGAAGCCGGACTCGGCTGAGACCAGGTGGATTTGCTTGTGTGGACAACGACATCCCTTCTGTTTATGACAAAACAAGGTAGAGCGGAGTCAAATGCTCCAGCTGGTGATGAACCACCAGCAACTGTAAAGTTGATGAGAAAAACTCCCCTCGATGTTTCCACACAGTACACGTGTCAACCCGCTTCCCAACTACAGATAAAAACGAGACACAAATGCCGGTCACCCGCCCGGTGAGCCCACAGGACGCGTCGGCCACGGCGCCAGGTCCTCAGGTCCTTCACCCCACCTCGCAGGTGAAGGCTCTGAGCAGGGACACCCCTCAGGTGAACACGTCCCAATTCCAGCTTGACTGCGGCCCCAGGGAAACAACAGGGACCGCAGCACAAAAGAGAGTCAGGCCGAGTGGGAGGGAAACGCACATCTCACCGTGCACACCCAGGAACGCCCAGGCCCCGAAACACGGACACTCAGACCCGCTGGCAGGCCCGGGATGCGGGGTGTCTGCTGCCCTCGGGCCGAGGTCCAGGCTGGGCGCCACCTCCCCTGGCACAGACCGGAGACGAGCCACCGGCACCCACACACTTGGCTCCCCAAGTCCCCACCTCCAGCCACACGGCCTCTGCATCGACATCCATTTGCAGTGGGTTCTGGAAATTCCTGCCGAACCAGCTCCTGGGTTAGAGGAGGACCTTGGCCCCAACCGGAAGCTCGCGTTTTCTCCAAAACACTCCCGAAGACAGGTGGGTCGGGGCCACGTATCAACGGGGGCCCAGAGCCAGTGAGGCCGCACAGGGGACGAGCGCGACGGCAAGCCTGACCCAGGCTCGGCTCCCTCGGACAAACGCACGAGAACCAAGCCGCAGGCCCCACTCTGTGAACACGACGAGCTAGGGAAACACGGCCCATCGTTCACTCATTCGCGGCTGTTGGAGCAGCAAGTGCAGGGCAGCCGTGGTAACGGCCCCGGATATGCAGCTCTAAACGGGGCCTCTGCCCTCATGCAGCTTGGAGGCCGATGGAGAAGATGGATGTTGAACAAAACACACACGTGTGCAAACCCCAACCGCAGACCGTGCTGGGCTCTGCAGGAAGGGCGATGGGCACAGAGAGAGGCGGGGTGGGAGGTCACTCAGAGGCCGTCCCCAAGAACCTGACTTCTAGGAACAGCACGTGCAAGGGCCCTGGGGCAACACCAGCGAGGGACTGAGGGAAACCCAGTGAGGCTGGACAAGAGCAAGCTAGGGGGTGAGGACACAGAGCAGGACAGTGACTCGGGCCAGGGCCGTAGGACAGGCCACAGGTTCACAGCAAGAAGCCACTGTTGGTTCTAAGCACAAAAGGAGAGCCCAGTGTATAGACTTTAACAGTCTTTGCCGCCACTGTGCAAAGGACGAACTGAATGAAGGGTGAAGAGTGGACATGGACAGACCAGCGGCTCCTCAACCCGCGCAGGTGGGAGACGCCGTGGCCCAGAGTGGGATGGCGGCCGTGGCCGTGGGCACCTGGAGACATGCCGGGAGCTGGGTGGTCACAGGTGAATGATGGATTGAATGCAGGCGTGAAGAGAAGAGGCCCCCAGAACGACCCCCATAAACCTTCCCACAGGGTGGTCAGAGTGGAAGAACCAAATATTGATGAATCCAGGATTCCAAGGCACAGAAAATCGGTCAGGGACCATGCGTGCGTTACTCATGTTCGAAGGCAGAACCATAACACACACGGTTGACCCTCAAACTGTCCTGAACTCCCTCCGGTTCACTGCTTAGCCGGTCCTTATACTTGCAGAGTGAACACGGCAAGAACATATGCTTTGATGACTCTGCTGAACCATAAAAAAAAAATACCAATTATCCACATAATAAAGATGAGGGCCTCGCACAAAACAAGTACCAGATAAATGTCCCTGCAAAAGTTCTGGGGGTGGAACCGAGGTACCCGGCCAACCTGCTCTGTCTCCCGGCCTGGAATGCACGTGGCAGGAGTCCCCACCCCACAGACTGTAGGCCGATTATTAAAAATATACATTTTGGGGATCCCTGGGTGGTGCAGCAGTTTGGCGCCTGCCTTTGGCCCAGGGCGCGATCCTGGAGACCCGGGATGGAATCCCACGTTGGGCTCCCGGTGCGTGGAGCCTGCTTCTCCCTCTGCCTGTGTCTCTGCCTCTCTCTCTCTCTCTCACTGTGTGCCTATCATAAATTAAAAAAAAAAAAATACATTTTGGGGCAGCCCGGGTGGCTCAGCGGTTTAGCGCCGCCTTCGGCCCAGGGCGTGATCCTGGAAACCCGGGATCAAGTCCCACATAGGGCTCCCTGCACGGAGCCTACTTCTCCCTCTGCCTGTGTCTCTGCCTCTCTCTTTCCCTGTGTCTCTCATGAATAAATAAATATCTTTTTTTTAATTTTTTAAAATTTATTTATGATAGTCACACACACAGAGAGAGAGAGAGAGGCAGAGACACAGGCAGAGGGAGAAGCAGGCTCCACACACCAGGAGCCCGACGTGGGATTCGATCCCGGGTCTCCAGGATCGCGCCCTGGGCCGAAGGCAGGCGCCAAACTGCTGCGCCACCCAGGGATCCCAATAATATCTTTATATATATGTATATATATACACATTTAAAGTTCATAATCACACGTCTCCCGGGAAATAAAATTAATTTTTCAACTGTGAATAGTAATCCACACGTAGAGAACCCAGATCTCTATGATCTCCCAGGAGGGACTGCCTGGCACAGGGTGGACATTTATACTAATTTGACGGGTGCCTGTTGCAGAACAAGGAAGAGCCCGGTGGTTGTGTCAGTCTGGAAAACGCTGAACCAGACAGGTGTCGTCACGGCTCAGCCGTCCGGCCTGTTACTCGGCCAAAGGGGAATGTGGGCCGCCTTCCTCCCACCGTCCTTGCCTGAAACCCTGGGGGGATGAAAGAGCCAGCAACGTTGTCAGGATGCATGTGCCAGGGAACCCAGATCCGCGGAAGCGCCTGGCCATTCGTTCAACACGGTGGCACCGGGGAAAAAACAAAACAGGGCAGCCCGGGTGGCTCAGCGGTTTAGCACCGCCTTCCGCCCAGGGTGTGATCCTGGAGACCCAGGATCGAGTCCCATGTCGGGCTCCCTGCATGGAGCCTGCTTCTCCCTCTGCCTACGTCTCTCTCTCTCTCTGTGTGTGTCTCTCCTGAATAAATAAATAAAATCTTTAAAAAAAAAAAAAAGAAGAAGAAGAAAAAAAAAAATACGAAGCCAGGTACTTTTCATGAATCGCCCTGGACAGGACAAAACATGAACACATTTAATACAATACCCAATATTCCAGACAGATAAACCAAAGGGAAATTCATAATTTAAGTAAATTCTCTGTGTTTTCTGCAGAGCAAGTAATGAACCCGTGTCTTAGGCGCTAAGGGGGCCGGCCCACCACCAGCTCCACGGTTTTTATCACGGGCCGCCCGGCAAACTCCCCATTAGAAGCAGATGACTCTGTAAGGACCTTGAGAAGCATAACTTAAACATACTAGAACGTAAGAGAGAGCGTAAGACGTTAGAACCATCGTTGTCATGATACTCTTACTATTTGCAAACACAAGACAAAAAAGTCCAGATTCAATTACCAAATGAAGTGGTCCAGGCGGTGGGCTAGGTATCAAGGACAGTTTTGCAGCAAAATCTTTTATGTGATTGTCAACTTCAAAATCTTTACAAAGCTTCAGATGAGTCAATAAGCTAAAATTAAAAAAAAAAAATCAAATCAGAAAATAAGTGAGCATCCGTTTGTCATCCTCGGCATTTCTAATCCAAGCTGGAGTGTATGTGGGCGGCGGCAGCTCCAGGGCCGTCAGAGGGCAGGGCAGGGCTGCCTGGGTTGGGGGTGGTTGGGGGGCTCTGGGTGGGGGGCTGGTCACACGGCCGGGATTCCTGCCGTTTTCTGCATGTGTCGTACTTCAGCAGGGAGTAAACATCTCAGGGGTCCCCACACGCTATATTCTTACAATAATGTAAGCCAGAGAAAAGAAAAGGCCTTTGAGGAAATCCTAAGGAAGAGAAAATACATTTACAGGACTATTGCATTTGTCGAAGAAAATCCATGTGTACGCGGCACCCACACAGTTCAAACCGTGCTGTTCCAGGCACCGCTGCACGTGATTTATCTGTTTATTTATTTATTAAGAGATTTTATTTATTTATTCATGAGAGACACAGAGACACAGGCAGAGACACAGGCAGAGGGAGAAGCAGGCTCCATGCAGGGAGCCCAACGTGGGACTCGATCCGGGGTCTCCAGGATCCCGCCCTGGGCTGAAGGCAGGTGCTGAACCGCTGAGCCACCCGGGCTGCCTGCTGTATGTGATTTAAATGCAGAACAGTGGGACACCCGGGGGGCTCAGTGATTGAGCATCTGCCTTTGACTCAGGGCATCACCCCGGGGTCCCAGGATCCAGTCCTGCATCAGGCTCCCTGCAGGGAGCCTGCTTCTCCCTCTGCCTGTGTCTCTGCCTCTCTCTGTGTGTGTCTCCCATGAATAAATAAATAAAATCTTAAAAATTAAATAAACGTACGACAGACCAGCAGCACCCGGGGGCAGTGGGGCTGGGAAGCGAGCACAGGGCACCTTGAGGGAACCTTGGGGGTGGTGACAGTGTTCTCTATCTTAACAGCATTGATGGTGATGTGGAGTCTATATTCAGCAAAATTCAGCCAAGTGCCCCGGACACCCCGCTGCGGGGCCCTGGGGCGGACCCGGCCTCGCCCACCACAGCAGGGCCTGTGCTTACGTTCTTACTCTAAGTAACAAATCATAGCTCTTCCTGGAGTGAGTCGGGGCACCCAGGATGGTGCACTGGGTTAAGCGTCCAACTCTGGATTTCGGCTCAGGTCATGACCTCAGGGTCATGAGATCGAGCTCCCAGCTCAGCGTGGAGTGGAGACCGCCTGAGATTCTCTCTCCCTCTCCTTCTGCCCCTCCTCCTTGCGCGCTCTCTCTCTCAAAATAATAAATAAACCCATCTTTAAAAATAATAATAGCTCTTCGTGGAGTCAGCGTCATGATTTGGAGATAATTCAATGTTCCTCCATAGTTTATTTACTATAAAAGTAACAGTATCAAATTAAAGGAAAAAAAAAAAAACAAAAAAGAAAGACTTTCCATAACCTAATTCCGCAGACACCACCAGGTAGTCTCTCCCAATTTCGGTCCACACAGAGGCACGGTTGACCTGCTACCATCGCAGCAGAGAAACAGATTTTAAAAATCTATGAATCCGTGTTTATAAGCTGCCTTTTGGATTTCTGTCACTTGTTTTTCTCCGTATTTTATAGTTCCGGTCGTTCAGCAACGACCATTGAGAGCCGACCTCGAGAAGCATGGACACTGGACGCATATTTCAAGGCAAACGCAGGTTTGCCTCAGTGTCCAGGAGGACGGTATCTGCTGCCAGTGACACCGCGAAGGTCCCCTGCTGAATGAACACACATAACGAAGGCCAAGAAGGTACAGCAGGCGCCGCCCGAACCTGCCCCCCGGAGGAAGGGTGGGATCGCCATCCCAGCTTCCCGGAAGCGCACACCGAAGGTGGCTGGGAAAAGCCATCTACCTTCAAGCGCTGAAGATGATCCACAAATTAATAAAAAGGGACCTGCCCTAATTTCTCCTTCCATCGCTGCCCGTGCCCGTTAACGAAGGCGCATACGCCTCACTCAGGCGGTCCTGGAAGGAGCCCGAGCGAGCGGCGCTCTGTTCTGCTCCACGAGGGGGTCCCTCTCTGCGGGGGTGAGACCCAAACTACGTGCAAGGACCCACCATGTTGTGAAAACTCAAATGCTGGGGTGCTGGGACCTGAGTCCTGAAGCTCGTGAGGCTGGCCGGGATGGATTCCTGCCCGTCGCCCCGCTGACCACGGTGTGAGAACCAAAATGACGGTCTTTGCAGAAGCCTGTGACTTGCCAGGGGTGGCTGGTGGGTATTATGACATTGTGGGGAAACCTCTGTTGACCGCCTCTATCTTTAAGCAAACCACCGCGAATTCCGAGGCTACGATTTTGTGAGAATGAAAACAAGGCGGCCAGCGTGCGTGTGGCCGGGGATGGACCGCGTCCACAGGCCACCATCACCCCTGACAGCAGGCGGCCGGCCAGTGCGTTTGACCCAATGCTCTCTGGATTTTTCAAAACTTCTCGACGTGCTCAGGCTAAAAAAATGCTCAGTACCAGCATTGAGGCACTTGAAGATTCCACCCAAAAAAAAAAGAGGATTTGTTAACGGTCCGTGAACCCAACAGGAACGACGGCAGGGGTGGCCTCCGCTAGCCGGGAGGAGCACGCGTTCTCGTGGACGTCTTTGTTAAAAGAACCAGACAAACAACATCCTCCCTACTAATTTTACTTCCCACAGTTTGGCTTCCTCCTCTCCAGCCGGGCGACCTCCCCACACGCTACGGCCGCGGGAAGGATCTGGGCCAAGCCAGGGCCGGCCCCCCCCGCCCCCCCCCCGGGCCCCCGGGCTCACCAGGACAGGCAGTCCTTGAGGGCGTTGTAATAGGGCAGCTTGGAGACCACGCACACCGCAAAGGGCACGAAGCAGCCAGCCGCGCCCGCGGTCGGCCAGGACGGCTCCCAGTGCGCCTTGCCGTTGTAGAAGCAGGACTCGTCCTGGAGAGGAAACAACAGGCCCGGGTCACCTCCCGCCCGCCGGTCCCCACACTTCGACCCTCAGCGAGCGGTGGGAGCACCGCAGCAGCAGCAAGGGGGCAGGGGCCCGGCCAGCATCCTGCTCCCCAACAGCCCTCCAATGTCCCTGCCAGGCCCCCCACGGTGCCTGCTGTCTGTGACCTGCGAGGTGGCACAGACGCTGAGACGCGTCCCAGCCCGGGAGCAGCTCGCCACCCGGCAGGAAGGGGCGCGCGGTAAGAACATGGTAGATGCAGACGGGGCCACGGGCTCTGCTTAGGAGGGAAGAGAACTGCAGCATCTGAGCACGTGTGTGTGTGTGTGTCTCACAGCTGGAGGAGGCACGTGGAGCCGGGATTCCAGAAGCCAAGTTGCTGGGAGCCACGGTCTGGCCCCAGTGCAGGGCTGTCGGGGTTTTTCAACAGGGACAGAAGCTGCGAGAACAGTGTCACACAGGGACGCTGCAGACGTGAGGGTCATGCAAGGCAGGTACGGGGAGGGCCCTGCAAGCGGTGGGCAGGCCGTCTGTGTCACCCCAATGCTGAATCTACACCCACTACTCTCAAATCAGTGTGCCGGGGGCCCCCAGGCGGGTCACCGTCCTCTCTGTGCCACCGTCTGCCTCCTCATCTGTCAAGGGGGGTGACACTGATAGCTCCCTACTTCGCTCATTGTCATGTGGGTGAAACAACCCCGCGGGAGGGTCATGCCCAGCACTGGGCTGCGCACACATGGGCGGCTGGCCTGGGACAGCCATGTGCCGTCTGCACCCCAGGAAGGGCCCAGTCCACGGGCAGACAGGAGTGCGGGGCAGGGCCTGGGTGGTCACTGGACACACGGGGAGGGAGGGGAGGCCGGCATGTGGGGCCCGGGGCACCCCGAAAACACTCAGGCGTGAGTAAACCCCATAGGATGTATTTAACGTAAGCGCCTCTCCTAAGGGTCGCTTCACAGACGAGCTCCCAGAGCACCTTCCTGAATGATCCAGCCACTCATCGTGTCGCTGCTGGAAGTGCCGGCCAGGGAGGGCTGGGGCTCGGCTCCCTCCTCGTCTCCCACCTCTACCTAACCCAGCCGGGCAGGCCGTCAACGCCATGGCACGGCCTCGAGGGGGGCCTCCCTGAGCTGCCACCGCCTGCCCCGGGACCCTGGTCCAGAGGCCGAGGTCGTGCACTCAGACGTCAGCGGAAGGCTGGGCTCCCACGTATTTCTGAAGCCCATCAGGCGTGTCTGTGCCACCCCACAGGCACGAGGGGTCAGAGCCCGTCCAGTTGCGCCTTATGCCCCCCGACACTCAGGGTGACAGCCGTGAGGATAACTGCCCCAGCCTCTGACAGCAGAGTGGGGAGGGAAGTCCGGGCAGCCACCTCCCCTCGCCATGGATTCACAGACGTCCCTGGACAAAGCACCTTCTGCTTCTGGAAACCCTGTGGGCGCCTCTTAAGGTGCGCGGGGGCCCCGTGAGCTCCGCAGAGGCCGGCCAGCTCACACGTGGCCCTGCCTGGGTGGATGAGGGCCGGGTCCCGCTCGCGAGGCCCAAGCCTGTCACCCCACACAGAAGGTGAGGGGCGAAAACCCCCCGGGCCCCTCGGCGGATGCGTGGGTGGGCAAGCCGGGGCGCACACACACCGCACGGTACGACCCGGCCATAAGGATGGAGGCTCTGCTACCCCACAGGGCGAACTCTGAACGCGGCCCATGGAGCGGGGGCAGCCAGACACCGAGGCTGCCCGCAGGCTGGTCCACTGGCAGCAGGCGTCCAGCGCAGGCAATCAGTGGGGGCAGAAGGCAGACGAATGGGGCCGGGGGGCTGGACTTTCAGGGTGACGCATGCCTCTGGACCAGACATGGTGGGGGCTACACCCCACCGGGAGTATACGGAGCGCCCCTGATGCTAAAACGATTCCAATGGTGGTGGTTGTGTGATGTGCATCCCCGCAAAAATAAAAAATACTGGGGCGCCTGCGTGGGTCAGTGGTTGAGCGTCTGCCTTCGGCTCAGGTTGTGATCTCAGGGTCCTGGGATTGAGTCCTCCGTCGGGCTCGCTGCTCAGCGGGGAGCCTGCTTCTCCCTCTGTCTCCGTCCCTCCCCCCAACTTATGTACATTCTCTGTCTCTCTCTCAAATAAATAAAATCTTAAAAAAAAAAAAAGCAAAAATAGTAAGAAATACTTAAAATGAATTCCAGAGGGAAATCGCGGCAGTCACGTACGTGCAGGGGTCGGTAGTACTGGGCAACCACGCCGTACGTCCTGTTCCCACAGACATCCGTCAGCACCAGAAAGTGGACACAGTCTTCCTTCGGTTCGGAGGCCACACACAGGCCCCCTGTGGACAGAGAGAGAAGAGGAGATGTCGTCAGGGCCCACGGCACCCACCTCTGAGCCCGGGGGAGCCGCCCCGGGGCCTGGAGAACCTGTCCCCACACGGCCAGCCGGGGCACGGGGACGGCCGGGTGCCATCAGCCCTGCGCCCCTCGATCCCTCCGCCGCCCTCTGTGCTCTGCAGGAAGGAATGTGAGGCAACTACAGACAAACCCTTTGGGGTGCGCCCGGGGGAGGCAGTGCAGGGGTGTCCCGCTGTCCCCGGGTTGTAACCTAGGACCAGGAGATGGCCCCCACTCCCGACAGAACCCCCAGGCAGGGAATGCCAGACAGGAAAGCAGGGGTTTTGCCATAAGCCACTTTGGTGCTTCTCAAGGACAAGGAAAGCACGAGGGCCGCCGCTGCCAGGACCGGGCCACTCTGGGCTGTGGGGCCCCGGGGTGCGGTGGGGGACCCGGGCCCAAGTGCGCTCCGCGGGAGATGCCACAGGCTAACCTTGACCCACCTGCCAGACGGGACCGAACATCGAGGGTGAGGGTCCTTGGGAAGCACATCCAGGAACCATGAGGCCCGGCCAGCCCGACAGCCCCTCGTCTAGGATGCAGTTTTCCAAACCAGGGGGGCTGTGCTATGTGGTCTACACACCCTGTAGCTCCCAAACCCCCAGGATTAAGAGAACCAAGTCCTGTGGCTGGACCTCAAGGCCGCGAGGGGGCACCAGCCTCCCAGCCTGTCACACTTTCCTGACTTGGTTTCTAGAAAGTGCCGTGGGTGCGGCTGGAGAGCAGAGCAGAGGATACCTGGGAAGCAGAGCTGAGGCAGGGCGAGCAGGTCCACGCCATTGGGGACAGTGATATCTTCGGGAGGGAGGCCCTTCCAGGGCTCGGATTTGGGCTTGTCCCTCTTCTTTCTGAAGGAGCGCCTCCTGGTCTTGCTCAGGGTGGCACAGGGGGCGCCGGCCGTCTGACTGTCCTCCTTAGTGACGAAGGGAGGCACAAACATGGACAGAACCTCCGGTTCGAGAGGAGGGCCGCCCACCCCCTTCCGCTGGGCCTGAAGCAGAAAGGGACACAGTCACCCACGGCGCCCGCCTTCGCTCCGCCGCACCTCCATCCGAGCCCGGCCTCGGCGTGTTCCCCTTCCGCCCACCCCCGGGTGCCCAATCCGCACCTGCCAGGGGCCCCCACGGTCAGGACCACACGGAGGTGGCCTCAGGGCCCTGGAGACTGTGCACCCAGGTGAGTCACACCTTGGCGAGGGACTGGCTCTTCAGTCGCCCCGGGCCACACCACGCAACAGTCAGAGCCCGGGCCACGGGCCGCCTTGACTTCCAACCCAGCTCTGGCTCTGCTAGGCCCCAGCGGCCAACATCGCCTCCTTGGGCGCCCTTCCAGGGGCTGGGGTCGCAGGTGGAGGGCCCAACCCCGACGTCCCACCGGAGGCCCCACAGGCTGTCACGGGCTGGTGGGGCGGCCCGTGTACTGCGCAGCCCAGCGTGGACGGGCTGCTGCCCCACGCCCCATGCCAGCTGGGCCATTCGCCCAGGGGTCCTGTCACAGGCGGTCTGGGGACACACACGGAGGGTGAGAGGACTGCCGGCTGCAGAGGAGACACGCGCCCTTCCTCCCGCAACCAGACGGTCCCCCAGGACCTGCGCATCGGGGTCGTCCAGCCTAAACGCTTTCAAACTCTAACTGGGTGCCAGATTTTTAAAAGACCTTTTGCCTTTTCACTCCCCGCCCCCCAAAGGATAGAAAGAGCACAGGGCTCTGCCGCCGACCTCTGCTCCCTGTGGCCTCGATGCCTGGGAGCTCGTTCTGGGGAGAAGTGTGGCCAATCCCGAGCTCCAGGGAGGGGGTGGGGGAGTCCCCGGGCTGTGACCCAGCGGCAGGTGGTCAGCTCCCAGGAGACAGAGAGCCGGTGGGAAGGGGGGAGGAGGCCGGGCCGGGTGGGCACCGGGTAGTCCAAGATCTCGGAGGGACTCGGCATCAGGAAGGACCCGGTTGTCACCAGGAGAAATGGAATTGTCGTGGGCAGGAAAGGAAGGGCGGGCATCACGGCTTCAGGAGGAATCTTGGGACCCCAGGGGATCTCCTCCTACCCTGGAGAGGATTCCTGCAAGGAACTGTGGCAGGAAGACTCTCTAAACTCAAGAAGCTTATTTTTATGCTGATTGATTCATGAGAGAGACACAGAGAGGCAGAGACACAGGCAGAGGGAGAGGCAGGCTCCCTGCGGGGAGCCCGAGGTGGGACTCGATCCAAGGTCTCCAGGATCACGCCCTGGGCTGAAGGCGGCGCTAACCCGCTGGGGCTGCCCTGAGACATGTCTTAAAATCACACTGATGATGCCTGAAACTCGATCCTGGGACCCCAGGGTCATGCCCTAAGCCAAAGGCAGATGCTCAACCGCTGAGCCACCCGGGCGCCCTATGTTGTATAAACAGGCAACAATTCCTTTATATTTGGGAAAAAAAAGTCTAATACCAGGAGGAGGAACAACGATCAAACACGGGAAATCCATATTAGTGGATTTACATCTCTGTGTATCAGGCACAAAAGGAATCCATGTCTTGAGTTACAGAAAACCTTTCTAAAACCTTCCTATAAAAACCCAGCAGTTCGGACCTACGTACCCATGAAAGTATGCGCGTCCACGCCTTCTCACATAAAACAAGACACCCGTGGAGGCTGGGCACACTTTCCTGCAACCTCCCCTCTGCTCCGTCCCTCTGCCCTAACATCCAGGTGGCCAGAACAGACACCTCCCTCCTTGCAGGCTGTGCTCCCCCCTCCCCAAGTGCTGACTCCCTGCCCCATCGTCCTCAAGTGCCTGGCCTGGCCGGCAGTCTCGACACTCAGACACTCACGTGGTGTCTCCCTTGGGGACAGCGCTCAGAGTCCCGCTGCCAGCTCAGATTTCTTTCCAGTCCCAGACAGGCCACACCCAACTGCCTCCGACATACCTGACATACTCAGGTGGGTCCTTTAAACGTGCAACTTCAAATTATTAAGTTCGTGCTGATTTTCCTAAAACCTGAGCGTTCCACCCATATGCTCCCCTGATAAAGACAGTGCCCCTCGGGTCTCCAGAGCTGCCCTCAGGCCCCTGCTCCTCACTCCCATCTGCAAGCCCACCCTGCAGGGCCACTGGCCTCAGGAGGGCCTCTGAAGGCAGCCCCCCCCCACCCCATCTGCACGTTTCCAAACCAAGCCCCCGCCCCACCTGTGGCTCAGAGCAGGTACAGATTCTCCACGGGCTGATCCTTCAAGGTGTCTGCCCTGAATGACATCGCCTCCTCCCGCTGGGCCCAGGGCGCCCACCTGCACCTCCATCCAGGCTCACACGGGGGGGGGGGATCCCCTTTTGAAAGAGCACATGTGACCTTGTCACCTGCCCCAATGGATAGTGGCTCCTGCCACCTGGCACCAGCTTTTGACCCCCGCAGACCCCTGGATGGCCCCAAACCAGGGTCACAGACCATCTGTCCCTCCACCAGAATGAAAACCGAGTCTTTCCGTACGTCACCGTTATTACTGTGTATTCCACGTACATGTCACACGTGTGCATGTGGCACAGGCAGGATGACGACCTGGACTGTACACCTGAGCAGCAGGCCAGCCTGCTTCCAAAGCCAGGGTGTCCCCAAAGCCGTGCATGACTGACCCTCTCATTCTCCAGACACAAGCAGCCGTGGTCCAATGCGGTGCTCTCCCCTGTGGTGCTGGTCCCTGCCCGTCCCTTGCCTGACATGTGCCCAGTCCCCTCCCCCATCCACTTCTTCATCTTCACCCTCACTGGAGGGGGACTTTCCTCCCCTGCAGCCAGGCCATCAGGCTCCTGACTCCTCACCTCCTGGAGCACCTCCATCCTCCACCTCCCTCCACCTCCCCCCCCATCACCTCCTAGAGCACCTCCTATCACCTCCACCCGCCCTGGTTCAGCACAGAAGATGGCTCTCGGTGGATGCTGCTCATCTATCCGCTCATCTACTCCGGGATCTCTCAGAGTACAGTCTCTAGGGATACAGTCACCACGCTAAGGAATAAACTACTTCTCGCTTATCTGGAGCCACTTAAAGTGAAACGGCCAAGATTCAGCCAACCTGGCATTCAGCAGCTCATCACACATCTGTTTTTCCTCTGAACGTATACCCTTGTCTTTTCTGATCGGATAAGCCATACAGTCTCATGTTTAAAAGCTAGCAACCTTATAGGAAGAATAAAAGAAATAAGAACAGAAAGGAGGACAGCCCGGATGGCTTGGCGGTTTAGCGCCGCCTTCAGCCCAGGGCGTGATCCTGGAGTCCCGGGAAGGAGTCCCGCGTCGGGCCCCCTGCATGGAGCCTGCTTCTCCCTCTGCCTCTCTCTCTGTGTGTGTCTCTCATGAATAAATAAATAAAATCTTAAAAAAAAAAAAAAAAACAGAAAGGAAAGGTCCTCCCAATTCCGTGAAAGGGTGGTTAACACCCCGTGCACAGTGTGAATTTCAGTCTTTTCCTTTCTTATCTCTCTATCAATATGATTTTTCCCCTTTGATACAATCACCCTCTTTTAACAGTGCCACTAGCATCTTTCCCCACCAAAGCCCACTGTGTGGCTGACTTCCGTGTCGCATCTGGACGGTGCCTCGCGGGGACGACTGAGTAGTGTACCTGGCCCACCCCCTACGGAGGAGTGGCTGGTGTGCTCTCAGTTCTTCATCACACCCACACACTGAGCAAAGGCAGCAGCAAGCAGCCTCTGCCATACATACGTGCACATGTCCGACTGTGTAACCAGAATAAATTCCTGAGAGCACAGGCCTGGATTCCAGATTGCAACTGCCCCTCCTCCCCTATGGGGCAAGATAAGGTCCGTTTCCACAGACTCGTGAGTCATTCCTGCTCGTCTCTGGCAGACACCGACTTGCTAACCCCTACACGGTAACAACCATTTCAGTCAAAAAACCAGAGCTAATAAAAAAGTAAGACACACAACACCCTAATTCATAGTGTCACAGATTTACTTCTGTGAGGTTGTAGAGTGGCACTCACACAGGATGGGCCATCATTTGTGAAATAAAACAGAAAACAATAGTTTTTTGTTTGTTTTTAGTGCTGTAGAACTGTGATGTCCAGCACAGGTAATAGCCATGTGACTATTTAAATTGAATTTAATTAAAATTAAATGAAATCAGGGCACCTGGGTGGCTCAGTGAAGCGTCTGCCTTCGGCTCAGGTCATGACCTTGGGGTCCTGGGATCGAGTCCCACATCCGGCACATTGCTCAGTAAGGAGTCTGCTTCTCCCTCTGCCCCTCACCCCACTCCCCCTGCCCGTGTGTTCTCTCTCTCTCTCTAATAAATAAATAAAATATTTAAAATAAATTTAATTTACTTTAATTTAAAAGCCAGTTCTACAGTACCACTAGCTGGCTTCAAGCAGCTGGTAGCCACGCATGGCTAGTGGCTGCTGTACTGGATGGCACAGACGAACACTGGCGCCATCACTCAGAAAGTTCTGGTGGACAGTGCTGCTCTAGAAAGTGAAAGCCAGGATGCTCCCCATTAAAAACAGTTACGATGCGCCTTCACACGCGAGAATCACACTAGTGACCTACTCTATGGACAGTGCTCTTGGCGCTCTCCCACCACCCGGATGGGTTAGTGGCGGATCCTTCCACACCCCACCCCTACTCTCCACAGTAACCAGAGAGTGGAGGGAAATGTAACCAAGCACAGAAACTCACACGGGGACAGAGCTCTCTCTGTCACCGTCCTTACAAAATAAAACCACCCAGGCTAAGAAATGAGATGAAAAGTTAGGATGCCTTAACCACCCTAACATTAAGTAGGATGGTTCTCATACCTCTGGGTGTGTTTTCACCCGTCACCAAGCAGAAATGCCTCAAGGACAGAGACATGGTGATTTTAAAGGTTATTTAAAAAAAAAAAAAAGCCTAGGATGTTGGAAATAGAATTGCTATACAGTAAAAGTAGCCAAGTGAAGTCATGTGTTTGGTTAACTGTAACGCCAACATCACCCTTAAAGGACGCTCACTCCAGGAAGTTGGACCCATCCTGTAAGGCCGCCTTTTTCCCACTCCAAATATTTGCTCTCCACCCTTTGTGGAACCCCTAAGTGAATCAGCGTCTAGGGAAAAAAAAAGGATAATCATCAGAATGCAGAATAGCAAACTGCCCCCCTGGCCTGGGAAAGCCGCAGCCTGCTTGGGTCGGGAAAGCACCACCGTGCACATTCCAGCTGATTCATCCTACTCTCAGGACACGTCTCACGTTGGGGCAACCAACACATGTGTTGAAATCACCCAAGAAGCAACTGAAACCAGGTCATTTCCTATGAGAAGAAAAAGGAGGAAATGCCATTTGGCAAACTAGAGGCAGGGAGACAACTCAGTTGATGAGAGACAGAGGTAAAAAAGATATGCAGACACCATGGGGGCTTGGGGAGGAAAGAAGGGGGAGGGAAATGCAGAAACCATCAAAATGGGCTTTGTATTGAAGTCAAGGAGATGGGGCACCTGGATGGCTCAGTCGGTGAAGTGTCTGCCTTCGGCTCAGGTCATGATCCCGGGATCCAGGTCATGATCCCGGGGTCCGGGGGTCAGGGTCCTGGGATGGAGCCTTGTCTCCGGCTCCCTGTTCATCGGAGAGTCTGCTTCTGCTTCTCCCTCCGTCCCATCCCCCCTGCATGTGAGCTCTCTTTCTCTCAAATAAATAAATAAAATCTTTAAAGAAAAAAGTCAGAGACCACTGAGACACTAAAAGACATTTGTCCAGTTAATGTTAGCACCACGTAGCTTCTCCTGATGACCTCAACCCTTCAACGCTGCAGCCCCAAATACTCAGGTGCCTTCCTGCGCCTCTCCCTGCTGTGGTCCAGAACCAGAGGACCTGCCCAACTATCCGGGCGGCAGAGCCGAGAATCTTGGAGTACTCGGGGCATCGCCACTAACGAAAGAAAAATGCTGGGATCCCTGGGTGGCGCAGCGGTTTGGCGCCTGCCTTTGGCCCAGGGCGCGATCCTGGAGCCCTGGGATCGAATCCCACTTCGGGCTCCCGGTGCATGGAGCCTGCTTCTCCCTCTGCCTGTGTCTCTGCCTCTCTCTCTCTCTCTCTCTCTCTGTGTGTGTGTGACTATCATAAATAAATTTTAAAAAAAAAGAGAAAGAAAGAAAAATGCCACAAACAGTTATATGGACGTCCCAGGCCAGGAGAAAAAGAGAGTCACAACCCAATTCAAAAAAAAAAAGCCTGGGTTGCAGAACCAAGAAAAAGTGAGGGCACAGGAAAGAAACACAGAAAATGAGAATGCCCCAAACTGCTGCTTTCCGGGAAAAGGGTTTGTCACTCTGGCCGCCAGGACACAGAGAGGAAAGGGGGAGGGGGGGGCGATGCTTTTTCTGCAAAGGAGACAAACCGCTAGGTTTCATCGCAGGGCGGCCAAGCGCCGGGCACGTACCAGGGGCCCGCACACCCCACACCCCACACCCCACACCCCAGACCCCAGACCCCAGACGCCGTCCGTGCCTGGAGCAGCGCCCGCCGCGCAGGGAGGAACCGGGGTCAGGACGGAGCCCTGCGTCGGGGCCGCGACCCCAGGCGCCCCCGCCCCGCCCAGGTGTGCGTCCATAACGCCGCACCTGGACGGGCGCCCCGGGAGCCCGCGCTCCTCCCCAGGCTGCTCGCGGCGGCCCCCACCCCGCCTCAGTTTCCCCGCCCGCCCTTACCTGCTCGGGGCCGCGGAGGCTGTCCCGGGAGGGGCCCAGCAGCGCGCACAGCTCCAGCAGCCCCGAGGGCAGCGCCAGAGCCTGCGGCCCGGCCTCCGCCATGCCTGCTCGGCGGCCCGGCCCGCTGGGCGCACCCCGCTCGGGCGCCGACCCGACCCGACCCGACCCCGACCGCGACCCCGGCCCCGGCCCCGGCCCCGGCCCCGCGCCGCCTGGGCCAACACCGCGCGCCGCGCAACCAGCCGCCGGGTCCGCGCAGAGCCGAGCGCGGGGCGGGGCGGGGCCTGCTGGGGGCGGGGCCTGCTGGGGGCGGGGCCTGCTGGGGGCGGGGCCTGCTGGGGGCGGGGCCTGCCGAGCCTGAACGCGGCCTGGTCGGGCGGGACGATCCCTGGGGGCGTGGTCTTCCGGGGGGCGGGGCCTGCCGAGCCTGAACGCGGCCTGGTGGGGGCGGGGCGATCTCTGGGGGCGTGGCCTCGCGGGGGCGGGGTCTGGGGGCGGCCCCGGGGCCGGGCGGGAGGGCGTCATTTCCGAACCTGCTCGCGGGTCCAGGCGCGTGCGCGGTGTGTGCGCGCGCAGCCCTCCCCCCGTCCCCCCCGCGGGCATCCCCCTCCCCAGGGAACGGAGGGAGGAAGGGGCGGGGTCCCCAGGTGGCAGGTGAGGGCGCTCAGCCTGCTGGGCGGAGGGCGTGGAGGCCACCTGTCCCCGGCGATCCCGGGCCCGCCCTATGGGGCCTGGAGAGCCCCGGCTGCCGCGGCCTCCTGGAAGCCCTCCTGGAAGCTCCTCCTGGAAGCCCTCCTGGAAGCCCTCCTGGAAGCCCTCCTGGAAGCTCCTCCTGGAAGCCCTCCTGGAAGCCCTCCTGGAAGCTACTCCTGGAAGCCCTCCAGGAAGCTCCTCCTGGAAGCCCTCCTGGAAGCTCCTCCTGGAAGCCCTCCTGGAAGCTCCTCCTGGAAGCCCTCCTGGAAGCTCCTCCTGGAAGCCCTCCTGGAAGCCCTCCTGGAAGCTCCTCCTGGAAGCCCTCCTGGAAGCCCTCCTGGAAGCTCCTCCTGGAAGCCCTCCTGGAAGCTCCTCCTGGAAGCCCTCCTGGAAGCTCCTCCTGGAAGCTCCTCCTGGAAGCCCTCCTGGAAGCCCTCCTGGAAGCTCCTCCTGGAAGCCCTCCTGGAAGCCCTCCTGGAAGCCCTCCGGCGCCCCGGGCGAGAACCGCAGGAAAGGCTGCTGGGGAAGCCTAGAAAGATCCATTCCTGGTTAATGAATTGCGCGGTGAACCTTGCTGGCCGTGTCCAGCAGGAGGTGGAGCGACCTTCAGCAGGAACCCCGGCGGGGTGGAGCCTGCAAGGGGCGGGGAGGAGCTGTGGGCCTGGCCTGACCCTGCTCCGGGGACCCTGGCCCAGCCCAGCCACAGGCAGGGCCCAGGAGCCTGGCCCCGGTGCAGGCCACCCCCGCCCCGCACTGCCTGCGCCCTGACCTCGCACATCATCCCTTCCCCTCCCTGGACCCCAGGACATGCCTCTGTAAAACCAAGAGGGAACCGATTCCAAAGGAACCCCTCTAGTTCTAATAATCTAAGATTTATTTTCTAAAAACCTCAAATGCTTGATAATGCTGTAAAGCATCTGTCATCAGCCTGGGAAGAAGAGGAACGGAGCAATGTCACATCACACGGGGGATGGGGTGGGCCTGCCTTACTAAGTTACTTATTGGGCATGGGTCACGGAGGCTCTCACGCAGGTCTGGAGGCCGCCCGGCATCCACGGATCTCATCAGTGAGCGTCGCATGGAGTTACAGTCCCTGACTTAAAAAATAAAGGACAGATTTTGCTCATATTAGGCTGTCCGTGGTGTTTTCATTGTGGGTGGCCTCAGCACAGGGCAGAGTGGAGTCACCATGCCCCGCACCCCGTGCCCAGGAGAGGCTCACAGATACAGGCTGGAGGCACAAGCCACTCAGGAAGGCAGCGAAGCCCTGGGCTCGGGGCACCTGGGCTGGAGCCTGGCTTCTGTGTGAGCCGTGGCGCAGCCAAACTCCTCAGCGGGGCCCTGGGCGATTTCCTGTTTGTTCAAATAACGCGGGGTGTGGTCAGGATTGGAGGAGGTAAACACTTGGCAGCCGCCAGGAAGATCCAGCAAGGCTCAGGCAGGAGCCCCGTCGCTTTTCCTCCCAGGGTGGGTTTGAGGAAGGAACTCCAGGGAGAAACGGGTCCGGGCCTGGCTCTGGCCGTGCATGGGGCCGGGAGGTCCTGCTCCTCTGAGCCTCACCGTCATCCCGAGAAGGGCCAGAGGGCCTCCGCAGAGGACTCCTGGCTCCATCCCCACTCTGTGCTGTCCAGGGAGTCCCAGGGCTCACGCTGCAGAGAGGTGCACAGCGCCTGCGGAGCACCCAATCCTCTAGAGAGCACTGGTGGGATGGGACACAGGAGTGCAGATAACCAGCAAAGGCACAGGGGGAAAAGCCGCTTAAGGGTCACCTAGAGGCAGACAGTACGGTGAGGGAGCGGGGGAGTGTGTGGAGCCTGGCCTGACAAGACCATCAGCACAGGGTGTAGCCTGCCCCACACTGGGGTCAGGGAGGGGACAGCGGGCCAGGCCCACTGGTGCCATGCCCGCTGCACAGCGGCTCTCGCTGCAAGCACCCCCCATGCTGAGGAACAGCCTTGCTGCTCTGTCTCACTCTCGGGATTACTGTAAAAAGCAAAGGAGAAAATAGATATGAAAATTGTGAGCCGTAAAGGATAGAGGCAAAAATAGGGGGATGGGTGCACCGTTGTGAGTGTGCTAGACAACGCCCAGCTGTCGACTTCGGGAAGGGTAATTTTACATTGTGGAATTTCACCTCGATAAATTATTATTTTAATTTGATTTTATTTATTTTAAATTTATTTATTTATTTATTTATTTATTTATTTATTTATTTATGAAAGAGAGAAAGAGAGAGAGAGAGAGAGAGAGAGAGGCAGACACAGGCAGAGGGAGAAACAGGCTCCATTTAGGGAGCCGGATGCAGGACTTGATCCCGGGACTCCAGGGTCACACCCTGGGCCGAAGGCACCTGCCTTAGAAGCTGGTTGCAAATTATTTGACTCTTACTTTTATTTTATTTATTTTTTTTTATTTATGATAGTCACACAGTGAGAGAGAGAGAGAGAGAGGCAGAGGCACAGGCAGAGGGAGAAGCAGGTTCCATGCACCGGGAGCCTGAAGTGGGATTCGATCCCGGGTCTCCAGAATCACGCCCTGGGCCAAAGGCAAGCACCAAACCGCTGCGCCACCCAGGGATCCCTTGACTCTTACTTTTAAAACTGTAGTTCTTTGTGTGCGTGTGGCACATGTTCATGAAAAAATACATATGAGCAAAAGGCAAAAAACCGCACAGCACACAGCATAAGCAGTTAAGTTTGTTTTTAAAGATTTTATTTATTCATGAGAGACACACAGAGAGAGAAGCAGGCTCCTTGCAGGGAGCCTGATGCGAGATTCGATCCCAGGACCCCGGGATCATGCCCTGAGTTAAAGGCAGATGCTCAACTGCTGAGCCACCCGGGTGTCCCAAACAGTTAAGTTTTTGATAAACAACTGTATACAGGATCCCTGGGTGGCGCAGCAGTTTGGCGCCTGCCTTTGGCCCAGGGCACGATCCTGGAGACCCGGGATCGAGTCCCACGTCGGGCTCCCGGTGCATGGAGCCTGCTTCTCCCTCTGCCTGTGTCTCTGCTGCTCTCTCTCTCTCTCTGTGACTATCATAAAATAAATTAAAAAAAAAAAACTGTATACACACATGCACGTGCGCACACACACATTTGGGATTTAGTCCTATGTCTGTGAGCTGGTACTAAACAGACTGCTTTGGAACGTGTTGTGTTTTTACTTTACAATATAGGATGAACACACTTTCACGCAGATGTGTGAAACCTTCCAGTGGAACAACAGACCTGAATACAAAATCTAGTGAAATGCTGGTAACAAGGAAAGGACCTAAAACAAAATTCCAACAGATGATTCGAAGCAAAACGAAGGTCAAGGGCACGTCAGAAAACGCTAACAGAAAGAAAGCAGGGCCCGGATTTTAACTCCACACAAAGAAAGAATTCAAGGCACGGAGCACACTGAGGACGGCGGAGGGAGTGTCCTGGCCTCCGATGCGGCATCACAAACTTGTTTCTTTTTCTTCTTATCTCTCCCCTAAGCCTTTGGGACTCAGCTATGCTCTTGTCCTTTCTCCAGGGCCCAAGTGCCCCAGGAAGTGTCCTGTTGCCGCCCCTACCAGGCTGGGTCAGCCTCCAGCAAGGTTTCCCAAAAGCCCTGCTCAAGCCTCGGTTGCAGGTGGAGGACCTCCTTCTGCCTCCCCTGGCGCAGCTTCCAAAGGGCAGGCTGCCTCCGCCTGTGCCATTTCTCCGGATTTCCTTCATTTTCTTCACCAGATGTTTGCCTATGCAGTATTTTTCCATTTATTCCTTTGTATAAATGGAAATTCTTCTGTATAAATTTTCCATTTATTCTTTTGAATAAATTAGTCCTGCTGGGATCCAGGGCAGTTCTCTCCCTCTTTCCTTGCTCCATGTATGTTGGGCCTGAGAGACGAAGATTCCCGAAAGGATCCGGGCCACTTCTCTCCTCCATCAGCACAGAGCTGCGGTGCTATAACTGGTTTTTAAACACATAAATAATT